CATTCATTTATATACCTTGGGTGCTCACCACAGATTAGGCATGACAAGTGCTATCGGCACAAAGCTGAAAGAATGTGTGGTACCAGGCCTGAAGAAGCTCACAGGCCGCTGGGAAAGACAAAAGAGTACATGAACAGCAAAAGCACAAGTTAACTAATAAGAGATGTACACAGAAATGCTATGAGATCACAGATAGAGTAGATAATGTACACTGGGAAGGAAATACTCAACAATAAAGTACTTTTACAAACATTGTCTAATGTGATCCAAACTAAAATTATTTTAAGACAGATAAGTGAGAAACACTGTATTTCATAAATAACCGAAAACTCATATAGATTATAGATACTCTTCCTAGTTTCATACAACTGAAAAGTGCTCAGTTTAGTATTTGAACCCAGATCTAACAACTAATTCAGTAAACGTATCAGGCTGCCACCACATTACGATTCAAAAGGGTACCAGCACTGTGATGCATTCCTGTAATCCCAGAAACTCAGGAAGCTGAGGCAGGATTCTAAGTTTGAAGTCAGCTTCAAGAACTTAGGTCATAAGTAACTTAGCAAGATCCTGTCTCAAGATAAAAAATAAAAGGGGCTAGGGGTGTAACTCAGTAGTACAGTGCCCCTGGGTACAACCCCAGAAAAAAAAAAAAAAAAAAGAAAGAAAAAGTCAAAAGGATACCGTCCAGATTATTTCACAAATGAAGAGAAAACCAAAGAGTTAGGCAATTTGTCACATGGCTAGTAACAAGGCCTTAAGTGGAATCTTGTCTCCTGATCCCTAGATACCATTCTCTGTATCTAGAATAGGATTAACCACCGTAAAGTCCATGTACACCAAGATACAGGCAAAATGTTATATGTATTCTGTGAAGAGGACCCAAAGCTCTTAGATGCTTCAAGAAGTGAAATCTCCAAAAAGGACAGCTGATTTACAACACTTTCATTTTCACCGTGATATGAATATCAATGATCATACATTGCCAACTCTTGGTTTACTCACTCTCTGGAGTGATGGTGAGCATTCAAAAGGAGACTCCTTAGGATCTTACAGTTCTAAAAGCTGGAAAGGAGCTCTCAGGTCACAAAAGAAAATGTGTTAAGAATGAAATATGACCAAATATAAGAACTTTAGAAATCCTTTCATTGGGACTTTTACGTGGCAGAAGCTATGGTACTGTGAAGTAAAGAGGTTCAGTTTAGAACCAGAAGATTTTATCACTAAGCACTGTGTGAGATGAGAAGAATACTTGGACTCAAGGGCCTCAGTGGTTTCACCTGTAAAACAGACAACATCACTGCAACATACAGCACAGCCTTGCTGTCAGCTACAATTCTGAGATTATAGATTATGCAATCATTTTCTTTAAATGACATTTGAATCTCAGTAAGACTCACACTCTGATTTGACGAATAGGTCCATATTTCCCAAATATATCATACATTTCTTCAGCTGTGATTTTGTATGGTAAATTTCTTATATATAAAATCCGATTTACTTCAGGTGGAAGTCGAATCTAAAATGAAAAATATGTACAGGTCATTTTAATGAGGGCAAGAGTGCTACCATTAAAAAAAAATCTCAATGATACATAATAATAAAATGCCAAGAATTAGAGGTATAATCTGATGTTACTAAAAATGCAATGATCTTCAGCAAAACAAAAGAGCATTGATTCTAAGGGAAGACCATTAGTAGGAACTAAAAAGGGGCTACTACAAAAACCAGGCTTTTGGTCGCTACAGTTTAACAAGGATTTCCAACTCAACAATTTTTTACTCAAAAATCCTTGAAGCCTCAGATCACCTTTCTATAGGAAAGAAGGGAACTGTCCTATTTGCCACACAATAAAACTTCCACTGGTAACCCTTCTTTGGTTTTTTCAAACTTCTTATATCAATGATCTCTCTTGTCTTTACATGCTTTCCCTCCCTATTGGCTTTTCCTGTTCCGCATATGAGCAGGTGCTCATGTCAATCCTTACACAAAATGCTTATTTGGATCCCTCTTCATTCATTCAACAAATACTTAGTTCTTTTTTTTTTTTAATATTTACTTTATTTTTTTTTTTTATAGTTTTCGGCCGACACAACATCTTTGTTTGTATGTGGTGCTGAGGATCGAACCCGGGCCGCACGCATGCCAGGCGAGCGCGCTACCGCTTGAGCCACATCCCTAGCCCACTTAGTTCCTTTTTTATGTTTATACCAGGGTAGGTATTAAGAATAGACAGTTAAAGAAAAAAAGACAAGAGTTCTGCCTTCTCTGAACTTAACAGCTTTCTCTCTCTCTTTATATCCTATCTTCTCTTTTTTTCTTGTCAAGCATATAGAAAAAGTCTATATTAACTGACTCATATTCTTTACTGTGTTGACATTCAAACCTAAGTTTCCACCCCAGCACTTTGCTAAAGAGCTCTTATTTACTAAGACTTTTTAATTGCAGTGTTCAATTCTTGAACTTCTCTGAGGCTTTTGACACTGCTGTCTAGTCCCTGCGTGACATTATTTTCTCCTAATTTTGATTTGCTATTTATTTTCAGTGTTCTTTGACATTAAAATATGTTGTTCCACAGGGCTTTATTGTCACCTTCTTTTCTTGACCTGCTGTATACTCTCCTTGACTCTTCATACTCTCTTTGGTCTATGGTGATGACTCTCTGTAGTTAACAAGTTCTATTACATACTAGACACAAATCTGCTCAATAAGTATTTATTAAACTGGAAACCAAAAATATTTAGCATTAAGCTAAGTATTATATTAGTTGAAGATTATGATACTATACCCTGGGCTGAGGTTGTAACTCACTGGTACAGTGCTTGCCCAGCATGTGAGGCACTGGGTTGGATCCTCAGCACCACATAAATAAATTTTTTAAAAAAGATACTATTCCCTGTCTTCAAACTAACAATGGTAATAAAATGAATAATTACAATAAGGTTTTAGATTTCAAGATTCAAGGTTAAGTTAAAAAATTGACACCACCAGGCTGGGGAGTGGCTCAAGTGGTAGCGCGCTCGCCTGGCATGCATGCGGCCTGGGTTCGATCCTCAGCACCACATACAAAACAAAGATGTTGTATCCGCCGATAACTAAAAAAAAAAATATTAAAAAATTATCTCTCTCCTCTCTCACTCTCTCTTTAAAAAAAAAAATTGACACCACCAATCATAATATATACTTCTCTAGTAGATTTGTTTTCTCACTCTGCTAAGCACCATCTTACACTTTCTCTCTGCATACCTTACCACCATCATTCCCTCTCACATCTGAGTTGGACTGTACACTCTTCCCTTCCCATCCCAGGAGATGACCCTGACTCTTGCTTCTTGGAGAAAATAGATGAGATAAAATAGTAAGTACTTTATATTCCTATCACTGAAACGACTAAACATCATTCATCTATTTCCATCCACATTCCTTCTATTACTACGCCATCCGTTCATGTACTCAAAACCTGTCTTTCTTCCATACCATGTTTCTTCTAATCTGCTGGAGTATTCTCACTGGAATACAAATACATCTCATATCATGCATCCTTTTTTTTTTTTTAAGCCAACTATCACCCAACTTCTCTGTTCTCTATTCATAACGAAGACTCATGGAAAGAGCTCTTTGTTGTCTTCATTTTCTCAACTTTCACCTCTTTTCATCCTACTACAACCAAGTTTTCATCCAGTGAAATATTTGCTATCATCAAAGTCACACAAAAAAATCTACATCTCAACATATCCAAAAGTCAATTACCTGGCTTCATCTTTACTTGAGGTTTTATTTTTAAAATATTTCCATAACATTCCACTCTCTTAGAATGTAAGCATAAGGACTTTTTGTTTTATTCACTACTGTGTCCCTAGTACCTAAGACTAGTGTGCGGCACAGAGTCGGAATTCAATAAGTAAAACTGATGAATTGCTTCCCAACTCGAAAGCCAAGTACACAGCAGGTGTTCAATAATATTGTTGGATTAATGTGTTAATGAAGGACCCAAAAGCTTCATGAGAATCCCGGGCTCTAGTTGCCAGTGAACCACAGAGTTGCTTACTCAGGACTAGTCTGTGCTATCGACTTTTAGGCCAACAAGAAGATCCTAACACCAGATCCTGGGGGTGAGTCAACCTGTCACTGACAGCAGGAGACGAGGAGCTCCCAAGGGGGTGGGGCGGAAGTGTGGTTCAGGCACATGCCCCCTGAGGACAGGCCCTGGACACAATCCCCCCACGGTAAATTCTTAACTTCCCGTTTGGGGGAAGGAGAAGGGCAGGACCGTTTTGACCGAGGCGGCCAAAAGCCAAGCAGCGAAGTCCTTCCCCTATTCCGCATATGGCCCGGTACTCACGTTCGCCCTCTTGGCCGCTTGCATCGCCATCTTGGCGGGCTGAAGAGGTTACAGCAGCAAACACAGAATTCCTCGGGACCCCTCCGGAATGCGTTTGCCTTCGAGCGCAACACGACTTCTGAGGTAAAGTGTTAACACCCAGATCCCGCCGGAAGCTGTTACAGCACTGCCGGAATAACAGCCTCACGCCGAGACGTGCTGACGCAGTATCCCACTCTCCCAGTACCAATCTAGCTTGAGATCCAAGACAGACCGGAAGGTAAAAATGAGAGCGCCCAAGACATTTCCGGGTTATGAGCCGGAAAGGGCGGGACTTGTGCTCCACGAGGGGCGGAGTTCTGGCAGGGGCAGCCATGTGTAGCAAGGGGCCGGTCGGAGGGGCGGGGTCTAGGGAGCGGAGGCAAGGTAGGACAAGGCCCCGGTTGCGTAGCGGGAGTGCTGCCGAGCGCTGGGGACTCGAGAGCGGGCGTGGCCCTTCAGCAGTGCGCGAAACCAAATGTGTAGTTCTGGCTGTGTGTGTCGTGGTTAAGCTGTAACCGTACCGGGCACCTCAGCGGTGGTGTGGACCTCAGGTCCAGCATCAAGTGACGGGCCTGAACCCCACCTCACTCCTGCCACAGCCCGTGAGCTGTGGCTGCCTATAGTGAGTACGCCACCCTTCAAGTCCACTCTTTATTTACTTAGACCAGCTTTACACGATCAATTGACGAGGAGGACTTGGGAGGAGCATTCTCTCCAAGTTCACTCTGGGAAAGCCCGGGGTGACGGGTGTCCTGCATCGCCCCCTTCTTCACTGGGGCAATTCCAGGACGATTTTGCCCACGTTCCTGTTAGCCTGCATGTACTCATGGGCGGCTTGGATTTCAGCCATTGGGTAGACTCTGTCCAGCACTGGCAGGAGACGTTGGGGTCCCTCCTTGGAGAAATGGGGCAGAATTTGCTCTGTGAACGCTTTCACCAGCATTTGCTTGTACTAAGATAAAGAAAAGGAGACCATGAGTTTGGACAGAGGCTTTACCCAACCACTCCCTCTCCTGCTTAGCCTTAATGCCCTACCTACGTGTAAAAAAGCACATCTGCTCACTTCCCATTATGTAGCTGCATGCTCCCAAATGTGTAACCTCTGTACAATACCAGGTAAAGACTTAAGTTTGGAATAAAATAATAGTGTCACTGACAGCCTAAGAACTATTTTAAAATAAAGGTGTCATGCAAGAGGCAGACACAGACAGGACTCAGGTAGTGTCAGTGCAAAAGGAACGCTAAACTTCGCTCTCCCCTAGAGGTGTGAATCCCTATGGTGGGAGACATTCCCAAAGTTGGCATCTGTTAGAATATCATACAGAAAAAATGGTAGGAACATATAATCTATTGAAGCTAGGGACTTACTTGCCTGTTAAGCTTTCTTAGCACACCGAGAAGAGTTCTGCCTTTGAAAACAAAGTCTTGGAACTCTTAGAAGTCTTCCTAATGTGGTCAAAGCTTTGTCCATTCTGTTAGAAAGTTATGTATACAAAGTACTAGCTACACTCTTTTCAAGATGCAGAAGCTTCTGTTGACTGATGTGAATTAGTTCTCTGAAACTATTTATCCACAAGGTGGCAGGTTTCTTTGTAGGCTTTCTATTCTGGGTGTAATGTAAACAAAGCACAATTTTCTGGGTTAAATAGATCAATCACATTTTCTTTTCATTCCTCACTCACCTTCTTGTCCCTATTTCTCAACCGACTAGTGATCAGACTTCCTCGTTTATAAAATAGCTTTGAAAACAGGGGCCCACTGACATCTTCTCCTCCCAACAGACCGTAGAGAATCCATCGACCATCAAGAGCCAGGCAGTTGACATTTTTCTCCCAGTAGGATCCTCCTATGCAGTCTAGAATAAGGTTCACTCCAGCACCTTCCATAGGAAACAGATTTGTATTATTAATCAGCCACAGAAAATTTGGAATTCAATTCCATGGTATGTTTGTAGATATATGGGTAAAAATAAATAGAGATGCAAGTGGTAAATGTATGTTAGAACTAGAAACATTGGTCATAGAAACATTGTTGTGAATAGAGTTTAGGTAATGAACTCTATCATAGCATGTATAATAGAGTTCATCTTTTCTGATCACTACCCACCATAAGAAGGAAATAGTACAACAATATAACTGGTATTTCCTCTCACCCAGGAGTGAACAAGAGCAGAACAGAGGAGAGCCACCTCAGGCTATAAGGCAGGCTAACATGGAAGTTATGCACTGGGACATCAGAATCACAGACTTCCTAACTTTGTTTTTATTGGTCCCTTTCTTCTCATATGAAAAATGAAAAGGGATTAGCAAAAAATATCCATATTTGGTCTTGGTATATAGACATAAACCCATCTATTCATCCATTTAGGAAGCTCCCACACAAGCCCTACTATGAGTGTACTCTGTCTTAGGCTTCTTGTTAACTCACTGAGGATTGGCTAGTTGGGAATAATAATCAGGATAATCTGCCTGATTATCCAGTTTCTAAAGTATGCATGAATCATATCACTCAAGAATGCACATGGAAAACATCTTAGACCTAAATAAGTACTGGCTGCCTGTCTCCCGTGGTCAAACACAAGAATACTAGAATTTGACCAGAGCAGCTGTAGTGTATTTAGCATAGGCAAGACTGATAGAGAGGACTAGCAGCCTTGGATCTGGTGAGGATTTTTGTTTAATCACCTCTGAAATTCCTGTTGAACTGTAGAAGCAGTTATTTACCTTTGGTAAATTTCAGTGTTGCTTCACAAAAATCCTGTTCTTTGTAATTGAATCCAGCAGCTGCTCCAAGCTTTTCTGCCATTTGAAGCTTGTTCTGGGATCCAGCTGTGACCAGAGGAATAGCACCAGCCATCCGGGTGAGTTGGATGGCAGCTGTGCCCACAGCACTTGCCCCTGCGTGGATTAGCACAGTTTCTCCAGCCTGTACATTTCCTGTGACAGAAACCACAGAAGCAATTCTACTTTCCAACTACTACATGTTCACACATAGGCATTCTACCATGATCACTTGACACTTGGACCAAATGCCTAATCTCTTGCTTTCTGAGCATATCAATAGTTCTTTTTTGTCTTATTCCCTCTGGTCAAAGTAGTAAATGACTTTTAGAAATAGGCTGTTAGTAGTAAATGACCTTTAGAAACTGGGCTGTAGCTCAGTGGTAGAGAGCCCGCCGTGCGCGTGTGAGGCACTGGGTTCGATTCTCAGCACCACATAAAAATAAATAAAGATATTGTGTCCAACTACAACTAAAAATATATATATATATAAAATAAGGTTGTTAGCAGCCACATCCATAACCTCTGTTTTACTTATGAAATAACACCAAAATGCACATGTCTGACCTACTCAGTAAGAATAGCCACCATTCCCACTGACACCACCTGAAGCCAGTCCTTTAGTCTGAAACTGGCCTCCAAGTGGTCTTACATATCCAGGCACCACATAGAGGCACGAGGCTCTTTTTCCCAAAATGGAACTCTCATTATGATACTTCTTCCCCAAATGGAAAGTGGTTCTCCACTGGCTTGCCTTTGAGTCCAGGCAGCCTGGCATTCAAAACCACCACAATCTGTCTGCACAACAGTCACCTTCTCCTCTGAGTGGAGTAGCTGGCCTCACTCTTTTCAGCCACCTTGATGTGCTTTCTGTATATTACAATTCCACTCACACTTAAGTCCTCTTGTTCTCAAACCCACCTCTGACAACCCTTGCCCACTCCAACTTTTCCCATCTCAGTTAGAGACAGGCTACCTTTCCAAACTCTATGGTTGTTTGATTTTTGTGCACAGGTCCCAGGTAACACTGAGCTCTCTGATGGCAGGGATCAAGTTTTCTTAGGCTCCCTCACATGAGCTCTTGGCTGACCTCGGTGGGATTGAGGAGGAATAAACAAGGTAACTGACTGGCCCCTTCTGAGTTTTTTGTTTCTGCAGTGCTAGGTGTCAAACCCAGGCCACTGAGTATGTAAGGCAAGTGCTCTGCAGTGAGCTATGTCTCCAACCCCTTCTGATGCACTGGCTCAGCATGATTTTGAGGAGCCAGAACTGTTGCTGTGCACAGTGTTAAGATGTACACAAGCTGGGTGTGGTAGAGCATGCCTGTAATCCCAGTGACTCGGGAGGCTAAGGCAGGAGGATCACGAATTCAAAGCCAGCCTCAGCAACTTAGAGAGGCCCTAAGCAACTCAGCAAGATCCTGTCTCTAATTAACTATATATATATATATATATATATATATACACACACACACACACACACACACACACACACATGTACATACACATACGTGGGTCTGGGAATGTGGCTCAGTGGTTAAGTGCCTCTGGGTTCAATCCCTGGTACCAAAAAAAAAGATGTGCACAGGCCCTCTGTCTGCTGCTAACCATGATTCTGAGCCTCCACATCAAACCATTCTAATCTAGCTTGGGGATCCAGTGTTATTTCTGGTACAGCAGGGGAGGTAGGGCACTGGGGCTGGAGGACTAATGGAGTTTGAGGAGACTGATTCCTGGGGGAGCTGAGCCGTGTCTCATGGAGTGAGCAGGAGGCATCCTCACCCAAAAGATGTAACAGCTGGAAGGAGGTGAGCCAAACTTCTGGAATGGCAGCAGCCTGGTGCAGGGTCAGTCCCTCTGGGATGCTCATCAGGAGTTCTTCAGGGACAGTGACATACTGAGCCTGGCCCCCACCAGGCAGCAGAGCCATGGCTGGGTCCCCAATCTTCCAGTGCCCCTGGCAGCCAGGCCCCAGCTCTGACACATATCCTGATGCCTCAAGTCCTAAAATGCTGCTGGCTCCTGGGGGTGGGTGATACTGGCCCTGTCTCTGCAAAGAGAGGGACAGACAAGTTAAGTGGGTCTGATACAAGGGGTCAAGTATCAGCCCTCCTTGTTGTTGGAGGGAGAAGGTAGCTGTCTGCTTGGAGTTCAAGTATTGTCTTTTGGGATTGGAGAAAAGTTGGATAGTCTTTAAAAAAACAGTTGTTGTAAGGAACCTTATTAGAGATGGTCACTTAAAGTATTAACCCCAGAGAAAGCCATCCAAGATGATGTCTCCCTAGTTTCAGTCTCAGTCCAGCAGTCAGTGGGGCCCCAGAGGAAGGGTGAGGTTAGAGGTGGGCTGGCAAGTGGATTTTCTGCCATCTCAGCCCCGTGTCTCCTGCTCTGAACTTAGTTTGTATAATAAAGTGGGCTACCACAGGATCTTTTCTAGCTAGAAATTTTATCTTGCAGCAATGAATGTTATACAAACTAGCTTTCATGTTCTCTCTACCTGTGCAGGTGCTGGCCCACCTCTGTGGCACAGGACTTCAGCCAACAGCATGTGAGGCACTCAGTTTATGGCTGCTTGGCATAATCTGGGACCTTGGAGCCAAACAGGATCCAAACAAAGGAACCTGTGTCCCTCTGGTTTTACACTGGCTTGAGGTGCCTCTGGGTTCAATCCCTGGTACAAAAAAAAAAAAAATGTGCACAGGCCCTCTGTCTGCTACCCATGATTCTGAACTTCCACATGAAACCATTCTAACCTAGCTTGGGGATCCAGTGTTATTTCTGATACAGCAGGGGAGGTAGGGGAGGTAGCTTCTTCCTGTGCCCAAATGATTCCCTCTTTCTTGAAAGCAAGCTCTGTGGACTTTGGAGTCAAATGGATCTGGGTTTAAACTTTGTTTCTGCTCTTTTTTTTTTTCTTTCTTTCTTTCTTTTTTTTTTTGGTACTAGGGATTGAAACCAGGGGTTCAATCTGGGTTGAACTCAGATGTACTGAGCTACATCCCCGGACCCCCTTTTTTTTTACTCTGAGATAGGGTTTCCCTAAATTGCTTAAGGCCTTGATTAGTTTCTGAAGCTGATCTCAAACTTGTGATCCTCCTGCTTCAGCCTCCCACTTCTCTGGGATTATAAGCATCATCACTGTACCCAACTTCTACTTTGTAATCTGTCATACAACAAATACTGCATGCTTCCTGGTGTCAAGCCCTGTGCTAGGCAAGGCAGATGGCTTCTGACCTGCTAGAACTCACAGTATAGTGGGGGAAGACAGACTTTAAAGAAGTCAACAAATAAATATGTAAATACAGACTAAGGTAAGGTCTATAAACATAATGCCAAGCTACCTATGAAAGAAGGAGGCAGACAGCCAAAGAATGGTTGAGAGACAAAGGCAAACACTAAGCTCTGAGGCAGGAAGGATTGTGAAGGTGGCTGGATGGCTGTGGGGAGGGGAAGTAGCTCCAGCTGTGGTGCAGGATGTGCCGCCCTCCAAAGCTGCAGGTCCCCTGGGGGTAGGCCATTTCCATTTTATCCCAAGCGCATAGGGATCTCGGTCTGTTCCCTCAGTTGCCATTTGGAGAATGTACTGCAGAGGGCGCTGCAAGCGCTGGGGTAAGATGACTTTGGCCAGGACTCAGATCTTTTCAGAAGCGAAACGACGAACTGGCCTGATTTGAGATCTCTCGTGGAGGTGGAATCCACCGAGCAAGCTGATGAAATGGATGCAAGAGCAGAGAGAAACCAAATGAATCCCAGGTTTCTGGCTTAAGGCGCTTGCTGGCTATTCTTAGTTTCCTCATCGCTGACATGGAGACCAAAATACCTGTCTCCTTTGATAGTTGAGAGGGTTAAAGAAAAGAATCCACTTGCAAGTGTGGAGGCACCTGCAGCCACCAAACGAACCAGTTTCTTTCCTTGCTGATTTCCATGCCGACGCTCTCAGCACACCCTCAGGTGGGGTTCTATGGGGTGTCCAAGGCCAGCTCAGTGAGGCATCGCGAGGGTTGCTGGAAGCCCTCGGGAATCTGATTAGAGGAGAACCCAAACCACCCATCTGGATACACCTGGCTCCACCTGCTGGAGGGTCAGTTCCTTATTCAGGCAGCTCTCCCATTACCATTCCCCAGCGACGATACCTGGAATAAGTCCGCGCGGTTCAGGGCACTGACAGCCACCTTCAGAAGGACTTCACCCTCCCCGGGGATCGGTTTGGGCACCTCCTTTATGTAGAGATTTTCTGGTCCCCCAGGATTGTCGAAGTACACAGCTAGCATTCTATCTGAGGAAAAATGGGGAAGAGGCAGGAGACTGAGACAGGTGTGAAAGAAGCCCCTTACTCAAATCAGGGTCACCTGACACCAGCCTCCCATGGCCTATTATGTCACTGCAGCTGCCTTATGTCTCACTACCTGTGACTTCCCTCCCTAAATTTCCAGCGGTTACGCATCCTGAGTCCTCTCCAGCATGAAGAGGACAAGTAATGCAGCTACTTGGTTTTGGAATTAAAGAAGTGGAGATTTAGCCAGTATGACATAATTTGTGGCCCAGGGTGTGGTGCAGTGCAGCCCCTGCAACTGCAACCAGTCCCTTTCCCTGAGATTCAGCCTGCCTTCCCAGGGAGTTGTACACTGTCCAGAGAGGAGGGGACAACAAGCTAAGAAGGAAGAGAGCCATACCTGAAGCCATCCTGCCAAGAGTGTTTCCCTCCTAGAATGGGGGTGCCTGGGCCTCACTTCCTAATATGGGTGCAACCTGCTGCAGCAGGCCCAGGTCAGGGAGGGACTTTGTTCTGGGCGGTCTGTTTGTTCATCTTAAGCAACCTGCATTACACCGTGAAGTTCTGCTGAGTCACCTTGAGACAGTAGTTTCTCTAGTTCCAAGACCTAGCTTGGTGGCCCGGTAGCTCAGTGGTGATGTTACTGCTGTTTACCAGTGAGGAGTCCTTGCTTCCCCAATGCTGAAGTATAACACCAGAGAAGCATGCCGAGGCAAGTGTAGAGTGGAAAGTAGAAGCTTTATTAAGGACAGCAGAAAAGACTTCTCCCCAGAGGAAGAAGGGGACTCAAGAGATGAAATCCATGGAGGGGGAAGTACTTCCCTTTTTTTATAGCTAAGGTTTATTTTTAGATTTCCTGCATTCCTGTCACTTGCATTTTTGTCCTTTGTTCTGTTATCTTGCAGTGATGGAATGTAGGTGGGGAAGGCCCAAAGGGTGGGAGACAGGTGGGCCAAAGGTGTAATCTGGCCAGGGACAGCTGCTTCATTAACATTTCCTTGGGAACATTTTCAATTCCCCTTTTCCCGGAATCCCTTCTCAATATGGCCTTCATTCTCGATTTTACCCTATATTAGACCTGATTTACGTAACTACACTAATTACCTATCTTTAAATCTGGCTTCAGTGATTCGTGGTCTGGAACAGCCTAAGGACTAACACTCTCCCTGGGGAAGCCAGAGAAATTCACTGTGGGTACCATACCAGCTTCTGTGCCTGCAGGACTTTCTCTGGGCTCCTCCTCCCCTGTCTCCATGGCATTTTACCCTGAGGCTGATCCAGCAAATCCCAAGACCCAGGATTTGGGAAGGCTCTGGGAGAGGGAAGGACTTGAAGTTGGCCTGTTGGCCCCTGGGTCTACCCCTGTTTAGCTGCTTGCCATCTTCCTGGGCACCCATCCCCCATGACTCAGGGGCCAAGGTATTTCTTCTTAATCTGGTGGTGCTCTTCACACTTTTTAATTCTCATATAGACAAAAAGAATTTTCAAAAACTATGTGTTCCTTCTTATTTTTAGGTGGGTGGAGGTGACTTAGAACAAAGCAGGCAGCGTGGAAAAGAAACATCAATCAGGCACTGACAGAAATGCCTGTCAATCATCAGGACCTCCTGGCCAATCCTGGAGTTCAGCCAGCTCCCCTGACCAACTCCAGTGGGACAAGGACTCTAAAAACACCTTTTCCTGTCCCAAGCCCTTCCCTTCCTGCCTAAGCCCCCCCCCCCCAAGTCTCCAGTCCAGTCGAGCTCCCACATAGTTTCTCCTCAGACCCTTCTCCTGTCTACTCTGTCGGTCTGATGAGTTCCTCAGGGGAGTGATATCTCAATAAAATCTCCTTGGGTGGCCTTTTTAAATCTGCCTCCTTTGGTCACTGCCCGCCTCACCTGATCTTACACTTATATTTTTTAGGTTGATATCTAAAATGTTTCATCTTAAATAGTTGCCAAAGATATTGATTTCTGGTCATCAATACTGACATTTTAATTTCTTATATTATACTTTTGTTTTATTTTTGTTCTACATTTTTAAATTGGTGTATTATAGTTATACATACTGATGGGATTTGTTGTTACATATTCGTACATGCCGCCAATACCTATATAACAATATAATTCAACCAATATTAGTCCCCATCACTTCCCCCTTTCCTCCCCACCTCCTACCCTTTGGTCTCTTTCCTCTGGTGATCTCCCTTGGATTTTCATGAGATCCTGGCCCCCACCATTCTTTTCCTCTTTCTTCTCTAGCTTCTGCATATCAGAGAAAACACAGGACCCTTAACCTTCTGAGTTTGACTTGTTTAACATAATGGTCTCTAGGTTCACCCATTTTCCTTCAAATGACATAATTTCATTTTTCTTTTTATTTCACACTTTTAAATGTATAAAATGGAATCTGATTTCAGAGCAATTTGATTTGCAAGACTTCACTAAAGACTCAAAGAGGCTCTTCTTTAGCAGTTGGAAGTTTTATAATTTTATTTTTCTTGTAGTACCCATATTTTTATTCTGGTTTTCTCATAGAATTATATCCTGCTACATTTTGCTTTTTTTTTTTAAGCCAAGATATTGATATATTGCCTGGGCTGATCTTAAACTTGTAGGTTCAAGCAATCCTTGTGCCTCAGCCTCCTAAGAAGCTGGGATGGCAGGCATGTTCCACCATGCCAAGCTTTTACTGGTCAATCTTTTATTTATTTATTTGGTACCAGGAATTGAATCCAGGGGCACTCAAGCACTGAACCACATCCCCAGCCCCTCTTTTAAAAAAATATTTCATTTAGAGACAGGGTCTTGCTGAGTTGCTTAAAAGGCCTCACACTAAGTTGTGAAGGCTGGTTTTGAACTCACAATCCTCCTGCCTCCGGCTCCCAAACAACTAGGATTAAAGGTATGTGCCATTGTACCTGGCCTACTGATCATTCTTTTTTTTTAGTAGTAGCTGGACACAGTACCTTTATTTTATTTATTTATTTTTATGTGGTACTGAGTATAAAACCCAGTGCCTCACATGTGCTAGGCAAGTGTTATACAACTGAGCCACAACCCCAGCCCCCTGATCTTTTTTTTTTTTTTTGTTTTTTTTTTTTATTTTTTTTTAAAGGGAGAGAGAGAGAGAGAGAATTTTAATATTTATATATTTATTTTTTAGTTTTTGGCGGACACAACATCTTTGTTTGTATGTGGTGCTGAGGATCAAACCCAGGCCGCACACATGCCAGGCGAGCGCGCTACCTCTTGAGCCACATCCCCAGCGCCCCCCATCATTCTTATCTTCAACAAAAATATGTATATAAACTGAAACTAATTTTAAAAAATTATTTCCTATAACCATCAGATTCTAAAAGTTAAATTTCTTCTGTATTTATTTATCATTACAATATTAGTCTACAATTTATGAAAACATGTATTACTTTAAATATTAGTAATTATTAAACATAGAAAGTAAACAGATAGTCATATCTATAGTTATATAGTTATGACTATAGCAAATAGTTATTGCTACAATGGGACTGAGTTCAACATTAATTCTCTTCCAATATTTCATTTGAGTAGGCAAGCTCTGAGAAACCTAGTTTGCATAAATCAGATAAGAAATTCCATTATAGAAATGCCAGCTACTTCTTTGAATATCTGAGTTATATGATAAAAACTATATAATGATCTATCAAAAATTATTTTCAATGATCTATTAGCTGACAGCTTAATTAGGTCTTGCTCCAATTTAGTTAAAGGCAAAGACTTGGAAACCACCCAGTATGTAAAGGATTTGTTACTCAGTCAAAAGTGTCATTCAAGTTCTCAGTTTCTGGAATTATACCAATAAAGCTTTTTGAAGACTTATCATGATTATTAATTATATCTTTTTTTTTCCATTTAGTGCACCTTGTTTAAACTTACATACTCAGGAGGATTCAAAAAGTAAAAATGTTAATTCCAATATATTTTTTGCTATTTTATTGATCATATCTGTTTATCTTATCACATGCTTTAAATATATTTTCACTAATATCTTGGAGCTGCAGACATACATCATTTATAAAAAACATCTGTGGTGCACACCTGTAATTCCAGTGGCTCAGGAGGCTGAGGCAGGGGGGCTGCGAGTTCAAAGCCAGCCTCAGCAACTTAATGAGGCCCTAAGCAACTCAGTGAGACCCTGTCTCTAAATAAAATACAAAACAGGGCTGGGGATGTGGCTCAGTGGTTGAGTGCCCCTGAGTTTAATTCCCAGTACCAAAAAAAGAAAAAAAAAATCTGTTGAAATTCTTATTGGAAAAGGACTGTCCTTTTTGTTATAAGAATCTCATAGGATTCTCTTTCACTTGTGATGCTTTTTTTTCAGTACTGGTGATTGAATCCAGGGCCACTTTACCACTGAGCTACATTTCCAGTCCTTCTTTTTCCTTTTTCCTTCTTTCTGTTTTTTTAGACACAGTCTTGCTAAGTTTCTGAGAATAGCCTTGAACTTGCAATTCTCCTGCCTGGGCCTCTTGAGTCACTGGGATTATAAGAGAGCACCACCATGCCCAGCCATATGATGCATTTTTGAACAATAGAGAATGAAAAGGATATTACATTTTAAAATATTTGGAATTTTCCTTTCTTTTGGCACCCTACAATCCTTACATTGTAAGCTTTCATCCAAAATAAGAATCATGCAACTGAATTAACAAACGAATTGGACTAGTAGTAAGGCTGACCAAGAAAAAAAAATCTCTGGCTCTTAACACCCACACTCAGAAAAGGAATGATGCTGGAAATAAGTTCTTTGAAAGACTGTTACAACTGTTACACAACCTGAAAATGAGAGAATTTTATAAACACTAAAAAACACGATTTTCCCCAGCACACTGTCTTTGGAATTTGGAATATTGCACTTTGCTGCCTGTTGGTGTAAAGAACTGCAAAGGGTCTAAGATTTCATTTCAATCTATTTAGCAAGGTTAGTAAGGTAGACCATATAACTATTTTACCAAGTTGAGGGGACAAAAAGAGTATTAAGGATGGAATGAAAATATAGTTCTGTGGTATAGCATTTGCCTAGCATGCATGAGACCCTGAGTTTGACCTTCAGCACTAGAAGAAAAAAAAAAAAAAGGATTAAGGCATTTCTGCATTTCCCTATCTTGGGAGGTCTAAGATGTACTCTTTCCAGGTACCAGGGCCTCCATGGCCATATAATTGGTATATCCCATCCCAGTTGCTATAACTACATTTTTCTCCAATCATGCCCTACTTGCACCCAGACATTTTATTTGGAAGGGTCAGACACGAGAGGGTCAGGGGTAGCTTTATAAAATTTAGGGACCCATTATATCCCCACTTGGCCCATGTATTATACAGTTAGAGGGACCTGGAAAGCAGCGTGCTCTTTAGATAGTCATTACCCTTATGATGTAGAATCATGCCAGTCCATGCTGGCTAATCAAGAATTAAGTTTGGGGGCTGGGGTTGTGGCTCTATGGCAGAGCGTTTGCCTAGCATGTGTTCGATTCTCAACACTGCATATATAAATAAAATAAAGGTCCATTGATAAGTAAAAAAAAAAAAAAAAAATTAAAAAAAATTGTTTGAATTCCCTAGGTCTCTTCTGCCTTGGCCAGTGGTCTAAGTCATACCCTCCCTAGGGAACATCTGAAGAGTATACTAATAGTCTAGTTATACTAGTATACTAACCAGACTGTCCTGGGGTTGCCTTTTGGGGAAACAAAGATATATCATGTCCAGGAATGGTCAGGGTAAATCCAAAATTTTCAAAATGGTTCTATGACTCTTTAAATATCATTTTTAAAAGTTTTTTTTTAAAGATGGACACAATATCTTTATTTATTTTATTTTTATGTGGTGCTGAGGATCAAACCCAGTGCCTCGCACATGTGCGAGGCAAGTGCTCTACCACTCAGCTATAACCCTAGCCTCTAACTTATCATTTTGATCATTATCCAGGAACTGACAAAGAAGAAGATGAATCCTTTCTTGGAAAGGCTGCATTCAGTGACCATTTTTTCTTATTAAGTAGTGTGGACTAGGATGCAGTGAGGGAAGTAGAGTCAGAAATCCCTGATTTTTTGAGAAGACCTGTACAATATTCAATAATACCAAATGTTTTCAGATGGAATATGGAATGTTCATCTAACACTTTGACTAGTGGCCCATTGCTGGGTGGCATTAAGTTCCCCCTTACTTCTAGATCCCACACTGGTGATGTAGACCAAAGGGATGTCACAAATGCAGTGAACTACATTATAGGAGAGGAATGTTGAGCTCAGGGACTCTACTTATTTTATAGCAAGCAATGACCAAGTTTGTTCTTTACCTTGAAGGGAAACATATCATTTTTTAAGGTTGCTTGCTGCAGTATCATTCTGAGTAGTCATCTAGATAAAGAGTGGTTAGGGCCTCGCATTCTTGGTCTATCTGGTGTTAGGAGTACAAGAGCCTCATAGAGAGAAAACTCCCAACAGTTTTCTCAGTGCTCTCACACTCCATGCCAATGGCCAAGACAAAAACAAAACTAACAATAAAGAAAAAGAAGTTAATCAAGTAATTCCAATCAAAGATAATCTATTGAAATAAGAAAAATTGCCCCCTTAACTCAGTCTTCTTTTTGGGTATCTTCTGCCTTGTGTTTTCCAACCACAAAATAAGACATTGTTTCTTTGGGATCTATAGTTTTCTTCTAAAATGAAAAAGTTGTCTTTTATAGTCCTCTTATGACTTAATATCCTTTTTTTCTTAGATAGTCTCCTGAAAGAAAACATAGCTTGGTAATTATTAATGAATAGTAAATTATCTAACCATATTATTTATTTAAACAATGTTGTGCCTACTATGTGCTAGGCCTGGAGACATAAGGATGACTGGATGGCTTTCCTTGCAAGACATGTCTACTATTTCAAAGGAGTGTTTATGTAATTTCAATAATTTTTTAAAAGAATTTGAAATTTAGAAGACTATAAAACACAGAACAGTTTGCTATTTACTAAGCTCAAATTTTGCCTTAGTTCTCTTAGATCTATATTAAAAATGTATAGACAAAGCCAGGTATAATGGTGCCCACCTGTAATCTCAGCTACTTGGGGAGATTGAGACAGGAGGATTGCAAGTTTGAGGCCAGTCTGGGAAACTTAGTGAGATTCTATATCAAAATAAAATTTTCAAACTGTTGGGGTGTTTGGGCTGGGGTTGTAGTTCAGTAGTAGAGTGCTTGCCTCGCCCATGTGAGGCACTGGGTTCGATCCTCAGCACCACATATAAATAAACAAATAAAATAAAGATATTGTGTCTACAACTACTACTACTAATAACAATAATAATAAAAACTGGTGGGGTGTAGCTCAGTGCTTGCCTAACATGTGTGGGGCCCTGGGTTCAGTCCTCAGTACTGGGGGGGGCAGGTATAGACATAGACGAGGAATGCTATGCACATCAACAAGGTGGCTACTTGGCTTCCAGTAACTTTCTATAAAAGGTTCCTTCAGAGAAGGTGGGCCAGCAGTTACTTATCTGCTTTTTAACCTGCTCCCTCATTCCACCCCTCCTCCATACCTGATTAATAATGGGATAAATCATATGACCCTGGACTTGTTAAGTCAGGGTCCTAAGAGAAATTAAGGGATAGGATGGGAGGCTTGGCCCTGATACCAGCCATGAAGGAGGTACTTTGTAACAGGATAGAATAAAGTTGAGTTGGAAGCAGAGACAAGAGTCCTAGCAGTGTTCCCATTCCTGGCATCTGCTTTGCCTGTGACTCAGTGACTATTTCAACAGTGATTCAACAGTCCCAATATCTTTTCTGTAAATTCCTCCTTTCTCCCCTACCTGGTTTGAATTGGGTCACTGTTACTTGTATTCAGAAGACCTGACACACAGGGACTAAAGTCAGGCGTGGGGAGGCAAACTTACCCAGTTTCTCTGTGGCTTCTACACAGACACTTGGATACATTCCCTCAATATAAGTGGCCACCAGAAGAAACAGATGGGTCTTCACAACAATCACACCTCTGTTGTCCTGGATAAAGAATAAAATAGAATGCCCTGCAAAGGTCCTAACCCAGTGGAACAACTGACATAACACAGAGGCAATACATCTTGGAATTCGTTGGCTCTGGGCTTGAATTCTAGCACCTCCATTTTCTGCTGCATGACTATGGAGGAATTATTTATCCTTTTAAAGCCTCAGTTGCTTTGCCTCCTCTGTAAAAGGAAACTATTTTGTTTAGAATGTGAAGTGTGCTGAACTCATAATATGAGACATCCAATGGACATGAATTTCATCTCCTGAATTCCTTATAGGTAAGAGAACACCAAGAGGTCCTAATAAAAAAAAAAAATTTCAAAATCTGAAATTCTCCAAAGTTTTAAATACTAGAAGTGGAAAATTCCCCATGGACCTCATGTGACAGGTCACAGTACAGTTGCAGACACACTGAATATTTGTATACCATTACCTTTAGGCTATGTCTAGAAGGTTTATATAAAACAAATAAATTTCATGATTAGATTTGGGTACCATTCCCAAGGGATCTTATATATCTGCAAATATCCCAAAATATGAAAGATTCTAAAATCTGCAACACTTCTGGTCTTAAGCGTTTATGATAAGAAATAATCAACTAGTATCATTTTGTTTTTTTAAGGAGGAAGAAGTAGAGTATGAAGATGGACTGTCCTGGAAAGAGAGAGTTCAGGCGAGCTTCAGTTGATAAAATCTGGAATGAATGCTTGTCGAACAAGGCTTTCTGATAGCACTTTCTTTCAGATATGCCTTCCTGGCACTAGACTGTTCGAGGCAGTGATGAGGTTAATCTGTTTTATGGAAATGTTCAGGAAGTACAAAGAAAATCAGAGTCAAATTCTTAAGCTTTTTACACAGCTGTCTTCAAATTTTGAACACTCACATTCTTAGCATAAAGAGAATAGTCATCTGCCCGGACACATTTATAATCCTTCTCCTTGAAATACAACCCTTCTCTGCGGGTTTGCAAAGGGTTTTTGGCAAATCCATTCACAAGTGTTCGGACATCACTGGGCATTAGCTGTGGAGGTTAAATAGACCAGGAGTTAGCAAACTATGCCAGTAGCCACTGCCTGTTTGTGATCTGAAAGTTGGGGATGGTTCTTACATTTTTTAATGGTTGGGGGGAAAAAATCAAAAGAACATCACCTTGTGACACGTGAAATTCATATTTCAGTGTTTATAAAGAACGTGTTAGCCAGTGCTGGTGGCACAGACCTATAATCCCAAGGGCTCAGGAGGCTGAGGCAGGAGGATGGTGCATTCATAGCCATCCTCAGCAAAAGCGAGGTACTAAACAACTCAGTGAGACCCTGTCTCTAAATGAAATATGGACATGAATTTCATATCCTGAATGAATAACAGGCCTGGGGATGTGGCTCAGTGGTCAAGTGCCCCCCAGTTCAATACCGAACAACCCCCCCTCCCCTCCCCGCCTCCCCTAAAGGTTTTATTGGAACATAGTCACACCCATTCTTTTAGTTTTTCCATTACTCCTGCAAAGTAGAATGACTGACAGCAACTATGTGGCCCATAAACCCCATATAATTATCCTAGCTCTTTATAGGAAAAGTTCATTTAAAAGTCTTATGCCCAAACTTGTTTTTTTTCTTACACTAAATCCTGGCGATGCGACACACACGCTCCGCTCATGTAGTTTGATGAGGGCTGCGCTGTCCACATGCTTCGTTCCCAGGAGACTATCTAACAATAAGTTCTGCAAGTGGCTCATGCTCCCTTAGATCTGAAATGGGAACTACAGATGAAGTCATCTACTCTGGCTACCTCTTAAAAGGCCTGAGAATGCAAAATGTTCCTAAAACATTTCCTACAGCTTTAATATCAGCGTGGGTACTTTGAAAAAAATGAAGAGTGGAAATGGTGGCCCATCATCCAGTGTCCACCCCTCAAGGAGGAAAACAGAACCAAAGAAAATCACTGTTCACACGGAGTGGGTTATGAGGCTGTTTGGAAAATCGCATAGCATCAGAGCTTTCCAGTTACGTTTGTATGAAAATCACCTGGGATTTAAAAACAAACTGAACATGGTGGCACCCCCAAACCCAAAACCCTGAACTCCAAAGCAGCCAGAACGGAGAACTACGGAGCTAAATGAGTTATGAATCCTCAACATTCCCTTCCCGCTGACCAGCACCTGCGCCAAGGATAGACACTGATCAACACCCCCGGGAGTAAAAAGGGAGTCCCTTAAATCAACATTAAAGTCCCTTAAACCAACATTTCCCGCCCAAGACCCAACATCTTGGACTGTGCTCAGCAGCACAACTCATCCACCGCGGGGATACAGAGGGCAGACGCCTCTTCCCCACCGCTCCCTTCCAGTAGTTTGGTCACGGGGATGCGGGGTGTCGGAGCCGGACAGGGAGCGAGGTGCGGGCGGCTAATCTCCAGCCCCGATGGCCCCGAGACGCACGCAAGGCACCGAGGACTTGAGGGAGCGGACGCCTGGGTACAGAGACGGCGGGCGTGGCGCGGACGGGCAGGTCAACCGCCGCGGGCGAAGGCGGCGGGATTGGCTGTGACGGCCGCCTGTCACCGAGGAGTACGGACTACGGCCAGTCGGCCGAACCGCGACTCGCGCGCGGCTCCGGGTCTCGCCCTCCTCCGCCCGCTTCAGCGTCCCCAGCGCAGCCTGGTGGCGTCCTCCGCGGCGGAGGGGCCGCGCGGGGCTGCGGCGCGGGGACACTGGACGCGAACGTTCGTGCGTTCCAAAGCGCGCGCTCGGGCTGAGGCCGCAGGCCTGGGCGGGCGGCTCTCGGGCCTTGGGCCCAGCGTGGTGCAGCATAGCCAAGTGGCCCGGTGCACGCCGAGGGCGCGGAGCCCAGGGCTGTGGAGGCCGCGCGCGCCCGCGCCCCAGTGCCGGAGTGGGCGCCTAGATCTGCCCGTGCGCCCACCGACAGCCTCTGCCGCAGACGCAGGCCCTGGGGAGGCTGTGGTCTCTCAGAGTTTGAGGACTCGCAGATTTTGCCCGAAAGCCCCAGCTTCCCTTCTCTAAGGAGCTCGGCCTGCGCTCCGGTAGCCTGAAAGGTGCAGTTCTCCCACACACGGCTCCAAAAGGTAGAGAACCGCTGCACACGGGACTCCTCGAGGCCAGGCTGTTGCCAGCTGGCTGGTTTGGGGGGTACCTGTAGTAGTAGAGGCTGGGCGTAGGTTCAGAGAGTCACACCTGCTGCAAAACGTCTGGCTCTGGAGACGCCGTCACAAGCCTGCGGGGGCTGGGCGCGGCGCACACGACTGCAGGCCCGGCGGCTCGCGAGGCCGAGGCGGGAGAATTGGAAGTTCGAGGCCAGCCTCAGCAAAGCGACTTAGCGAGAGCTTGTCTAAAACAAAAAAATTACACCTTGAGGGGAAGCCTCTTGTTAGGAAAAACGTGGTTGGCTGGTGTTCAAACCCCATTTCACATCCGCTCAAAGTCAAAAGTATTGGTTGTTAAACAGAAAAGATGATGTCTGTGAATTTTAATTACTAAATGACTTTTAGTTTTTCTAGGGTTTCTGTTACTCGTGACCACAATGAAAAACCTAGGCAGCCACGATCTGGTAACTGCCACACTTCCCAGAGTCAAGAGCTCAAAAGAATGGTTGGAACCACAGCTTGCCTTCACGGAGGTATATTGAGGTTCTTAGGTGGGTGGATGCAGTAGGCGATGGCTTATGCTACATGTTATTTTTTCTGTTGCTTTCTGTTTCTCTTTAATAGTCCCTTTGCTTTCTATTTGCTTTTTAACTTTTTAGCCTCTTAAGGTGGAATTATATAGGTCGTTGACCTGTCTCTCTCTCTCTCTTTTTTTTTTTTTGGCGGGGGGAGCGGGTACCAGGGATTGAACTCAGGGTCACTCGACTACTGAGCCACATCCCCAGCCCTATTTTGTATTTTATATAGAGACAGGGTCTCACTGAGTTGTTTAGCAGCCTTGCAGTTGCTGAGGCTGGCTTGAACTTTCAATCCTCCTGCCTCAGCCTCCAGAGCAGGCTTGCGCTATTGCACCCAGCTACTTTTTTTTTTTTTTTTTTAACTCAACAAAGTTGTAAGTTCTTGAAGTACTGCTTTACCCAAATTTTGATATGTTTTAATTTGTTTTTTAAACAATTTTACTAAGGTATGATTGACACAATGAACTGCATATATTTAAAGTGTACATTTTGGGGTTTGGAGATACATGTGTGTGTGTGTGTGTGTGTGTGTGTGTGTGTATCTCCCTCTGTCCTTTTGTAATCCACCTCTTCACCCCTTGCAACACTGCTTTGCTTTCTGTCACTATAATTTAATTTACATTTTAAAAATATATATATTTTAGTTGTAGTGAACTCAATACCTTTATTTTCTTTTTATGTGGTGCCTAGGATTGAACACAGTGCCTCACACATGCCAGGCAAGCACTCTGACACTGAGCCACAACCCCAGCCCTTGCATTTACATTTTTAATGCAAATGGAATCTTACAGTATGTAGTCTTTTTCTAAGGCTTGTTTCACTCATCATAATTATTTTGTAGTTCACCAATGTTTGATTTCTCTTTTTGCTGAATGTTATCTCATTAGATGGGTATATCCCAATTTGTCCACTGTATTGATGGACATTTGGGTTGTTTCATCTTTGGCTTTTATAAATAAAGCTGTTGTGAGCACTCACACACATGTTGTTTTATAGACACATGCTTTCATTTCTCTTGACTAGATATCTAGATGAGGAATGACTGGGTCATATGGTAAATGAAATTAACTTTTTATAATGGGTCAAATTGATTTCCAGTCATTAATTACTTTACATTCCCAGTAGTAATATCTGAGAGTTTCAGTTTTTTGTATTCTAACTGATATTTGATTTGATCTGTGAACTATGGGGTTTTGCACTCTGGCTGATGTTAAAAGAAGTACCCCTGGGTCTATGTGACCTCTTAGGATTGGTTATCTAATTCTTTCAGCACTGTCCGCCCCAACCCCAGTGTTTCTTTAGGTGGTTTCCCACATGCTTATAGGGTTAAACTCATCTGAAGGCTCAGGGGGGCCTTCTGTAGCTCTGATCTTTTGCAGATCTCCAGAGCCTTTTTGTGGCTTGTCTTCCAATGTATGCTACTTTATGAACTATCTTCCTGGGCTTCCCCCGACTCCTAGATCCTTCTCAGTTTAGGGAGACAGATGGGCTCTTTGGTTTTTGCTTTTTAGGGGCCTCTATCCTTCATTGGCTGGTGTTCAATATCTTAAAAATGACCGTTTCATTTATTTAATATTTTTTAGTTATTTTGGGTGGGAGGGTACATTTATTCCTTGTTACTCTTATGTCTGAAGGTGGAAGTTCTTATCCAGCCATTTTTCTCTTCAGATGTTCCATTTATTTTAACTCCTTACTTTTGCAAATCTGATTGCCCATTTGTTAACTCTTTCAACATTGTTTAATAGGCAACTACGGCTCTGTTAATTATTTTCCAATTTTTTCTCACTTTTTTTAGATTGAATTGTTTTTCTTTTTTAATTTTTTTTAGTTGTAGTTGGTCACAATACCTTTATTTTATTTGTTTATTTATATGTGGTGCTGAGGATCAAACCCAGCACCTCACACATGCTAGGCAAGCGCTCAACCACTGAGCCACAACCCCTGCCCCACAAGACTGAATTGTTTTTAATACTGTGTCTTTAAGTTCACTGACTTTTTTTATGTCATCTCCAATGTGCTGTTAAACCCACTCAGATTTGTTTGTCTAAATTTAAGAATTGAATTTTCCTAATTAGTTTTTTTTTCAATTCTGTTTCTCTGATAAGATTTTCTATTCATTGACTGTGGGCATATTTCCTTTAAGTTCTTTTTTTAAATATTATTGGTTGTAGATGGACACAATACCTTTATTTTATTTATTTATTTTTATGTGATGCTGAGGATTAAACCCAGTGCCTCAAATGTGCTAAGCAAGTGCTCTACCACTGAGCTGCAATCCCAGCCCTCCTTAAGTTCTTAAGCGTAGCTATAATAGCTGTCCTAAAATCCTTGTCTCCTAATTCTAATGTATTGGCCATCTCAGAATTGTTCTCCATTGATTGCCTCTTTCCTCTTTCTTTGTGTGTTCACAATTCTCAATTATATTTTAGATATTATAAGTGATACATCATAGAGGATCTGGATTCTGTTATAGTCCTCTGAAGAGTACTGAACTTTTTTTTTTTTTAATCAGGCAGTTAATTTAGCTGAACTTGAACTCCAAACTTTGTCTTTCCTTGGTTAGTAGCGAATAAAGTTACTGTTTAGTTCTTTTTTACCTTTAGGTGGGCTGCATGGAGTTTGCCCTGTGGGTATATAGATCAAGACTCTGCTAGAAGCCAGACAGGGTGGCTCATGCCTATAATCTCAGCAGCTTGAGAGGCTAAGATAGGAAGATCCCGAGATCAAAGCCAGCCTCAGCAATTGCGAGGTGCTAAGCAACTCAGTGAGACCCTGTCTCTAAATAAAATTATATATATATATATGGCTGGGGATTTGGCTCAGTGGTCCTGTACCCCTGAGTTCAATCCCTGGGACCTCCCTCTGCCCCTCAAAAAAGACTCTGCTAGAGATTTGGCCAGAATTTATTTGAAGAATTTGTGGCTCTTTTAGGTATTTCTCCTCTCACCTCCCAGCTCCCATGGTTGCCTTCAACTATGTCTTCTAATTCCTGAACCAGTGTATGTGTTTCTTTCTGAGTTTTAGCTACCTCCTTTAGCTCTGATTGATCGCTGTTCTCAGGCAAAAGTCCACAAAAACCTGAAAGTTCATCCAGGGCTGTTGTCTATTTCCAGGTGTTCACTACCTTCCATTGGCCCTGCCTTTGGTCACTTTTCAGTGTCTTCAATGTCTTTTTCTTATTTTTGGCTGGAGCTAGAATGTTGGTTCAGCCCCCATCATAGTCGAGGACAACAGATTCGACAGGAATAGTAATTCTATTAGGCAAAAAGATGAAAGAATGAATTTTGAATTAGACACATTTGAATTTTTTTTAAAATATTTATTTTTAGCTATAACAATATCGTTATTTTATTTTTATGTGGTGCTGAGGATCTAAATCAGTGCCTCATGCATGGTAGGCAAGTGTTCTACCTCTTAGCCACAACCCCAGCCCAGACACACTTGAATTTAAACTGTGGTTTAGCTCAGGATTTTCTAGGCTTCTAGGAAACTCCTATGAACCTTAACTTCTATGGGGTTAATTAGAAAAGATAGTTCTTTGATTATGAAATTTTACTCATCTGTTCTGGAAATAAAAAGTAGTGGGACAGAATTATTTCCACCACCAGTTAACCTGAGAATATTTTCTTTCTTTTTGTTTTGGTACTGGGGATTGAACCCAAGGGTGCTTTACCATTGATGTATACCCCAATCCTGTTAATTTTTTTTGAGAAAGTGTCTCTCTAAGTTGCTTAAGGCCTTGAGCTAAGTTGCTGAGGCTGTCTTCGAACTTGTGATCCTCCTGCCTCAGCCTCCCAAGTCACTGGGATTGCAAGCATGTGTCACCTTGCCTGACTTCTTTCTTTTTAACTTGTGGTGCTGTAGCTTGAACTCAGGGCTTTGTACATGCTGAGAACATGCATGTAGAACATGCACCAGCCCTGAGAATATTTTATATTTATGTGATTATGAGAGGATTTAACTTTTGTATTTTATGACAAATATTTAATTGTGGAAGATTTGTTATGAAAATGGAAAAGTTAATGTTGTTATGAACAAGTCCCTAAAGATTATGTTGCTTTAAAATCTGAAAATATGCATTGTGTACAAAATATTATTTATTATTAATATTTACTTGATAGCTAAAGAGTCTTTATTAATGATAAATTAATTTATTTTAATTATATTTATATCCTTACTGTCTGATAAAAGTTCAGATAATTTGTTGTCATGGAAAAATTAGTTGAAAGAATGAAAGAAGACCTTGATTGATAGCAAGTTTCTTTTTATTTCAATAAGATATTTTTTTCTTTTTGAGAAGATCCAATCACCCATTTGATATGATTTTACATTTCATGAATAGGTGTAAGTTAATGGATAAAAATGTAACTCTTCCTTGATTTATTTTATGAACAGTTTTTCTATTTTAGCTTATATTTAAGCAATTTTTTTAAAATTTATTCTTTAGTTTTCAGTGGACACAACATCTTTGTTTGTATGTGGTGCTGAGGATCGAACCTTGGCCCCATGCATGCCAGGCGAGCACACTACCCCTTGAGCCACATCCCCAGCCCCATATTTAAGCAATTTTGAAAAACAAAATTAGTGGGTGAGTTCACCATGGAAGAACAGAAAGAAGAACAGGGGATTGAATAGAACTTCTAAGACCTTTTATTATCTTACACTAGTGGTATTTCTTATAGGTATAGCACTTGTCTTAGGTGGCACTAAGCATTTTATGAGACTGTTGACAAATTCTTAGATGGTTCTGTAAAACTTAAAGCTGGAAGACCAGTCTGTCTTATTTAGTTGATAGAAGCTGTTTGTGTGTATTTTAAACCATAAAGGAAAAACATTTTATTCGATGTGGAAAAAAAAATGGATTCTAACTACTTTGTGACTCTGGGCAAGCCATTTTACTGTTATGGGACTCAAAATGCCTGAGAGCTGAGTTTATTTTTTCCCTTAGAATAAGCTCTAATCAAGAGCAGAAAGATTAAAATACTCTTTAAAAAGGTACTTGGAAATATGATTTGAAATAGAAAAACTGGTATGACTATGTAACAACAAATCCCATCATTATATATATCTGTAATGTACTAATAAAAAATGTGGAAAGAGGAAAAAAAAGAGAGAAATGGAAAAACCGAATTTTCTTCTTCAAAATTAGAACCTTTCACGCATATGTCTGTCAGTGAGTTCAGATAGTACCAGTATTTTAATTTTTCAAGAGTTGATATTCAAAATTTCATTCTGTTCTTTTAGGCCTTAGTTAAAGAAGATATTGATGCAGCTATTCAATCTATCTTATGTAGAGAAAAGTATGTAATTAAGGTAAGAACTGGCTACAAAACTCATGTCAATGAACAAATTAAACTTTTTTTTTCACTTTCAATGTAATGTACCCTGTAAAGAATTTTAGAAAATAGAATTTAAAACATTCTTTAGCACTGGGATTAACTTTAAGGGATCCTGGGAGTGTTTCTTATAGAATTTCTTTCTTCCTACAAGGTGGGGGGGATTCCTTCAATAGATACATCTGAAGAATATCTGTCTACTCACTTGTTCCTTCATTTTATAAGGATTCTACTGAGTCACTGTGAATCACCTAATTTTTAGAGTGTGATCAGAACGCCTGGTTGATTATTAATTATTACTCAGATATGCATGGATGAGCACTGGATTTAACTGTAGAAGGATGAGCTTAACAGAACATCCATGCAAATTATAATAAAACGGTCAATCTATTTTTAAGAATTTTCTTTAGACAAGCATGGTGGCACAAGCTTTTAATCCCATTGACTCAGGAGACTGGAGGCAAGAGGATTGCCATTTTGAGTCCAACCTTAGCAACATAGTAAGACCCTCAGCAATTTAGTGAGACCCTGTCTCAAAATAAAAAATGAGAAGGGCTGAGGATGTCACTCACTGGCAAAACACCCTTGGGTTCAATTGCAGTAATGCACACACACAAGAATTTTCTTTCATATTCTTTAAAAAGAAAAGAAATTATCACTGGGAATAACTGAAGAGTATTAGACCCAGAGAACATCTCAGGGTTCCTAATATATATATATATATATTTTTTCATTTTGATTTCATGATGATGCTACCAATCACATAATTTCATTTGTTACATGAAAGGTAGATGAGAAGTTTTAGTGAGAATGTTTAGTTTATGGTCTAATTAGGCATCTTCTTTACAAACTACCTGTTCTTTGGACCAGGTTCTAATACACTTTTGCATTTACTCTTTTCTCTTTCCTCATAGAATATTCTCCTTCCTCATTCTCTGCCATTCTTTTTTATTCCTGCATAATCAAATAATTTTATATTCTTTAAGGCCCAGGCCAAATGTCTCTCACTTTGAAAATCTTTTTTTTTTTTTTTAAAGTAGATCACTTTTTTTATTGTGGCAAAATATGTACTGCATAAAATTTGCCATTTTACAACTTTTAAGTGTACCATCAGTTTTATTAAATATGTTCACAATAATTCTGCAATCATTACCGCTATTTCCAAATCCTTTTGTTACCCCTAAACTGAAATGCTGTACTCAATAAGCAGTTAACTACTTATTTTTACCTCTCCCAAAGCCCCTGGTAACCACTAATCTACTTTCTGTTTCTACAAAACAGATTGAACCCAGGGGCACTTTACCACTGAGCTATATTCCCCAGCCCTTTTTTTATTTTTTATTTTAAGACAGGGGTTCACTAAGTTGCTTAGGGGCTCACTAACTTGCTGAGGCTGGCCTTGATTTAATCCTCTTGGCTCAGCCTCCCAACAGGCAAGTGCCACCATGCCCAGCTCCACAATTTTTGCCTATTCCAAATATTTTACATAGGTGAAATCCTGCAGTATTTGTCCTTTTTTGTTTTTTTTTTTTTTGTCATGCTATTTTCAAGCTTCTTTCTTATTGTTCCCTCTATTTTTTTTTTTTAACCAAACTTTCCCCCCCCCCCCCCCCCCCGTTTTGTTTTTTTTTTTTTTAGAGAGAGAAATAATTTTTTAATATAGTTTTTGGTGGACACAACATCTTAATTTTATTTGTATGTGGTGCTGAGGATCGAACCCAGCGCCCAGTGCATGCCAGGCGAGCATGCTACCACTTGAGCCACATCCCCAGCCCAAGAATTTACCCCTTTTTATGCTTGAATAATATTCCCTTGTATGTGTATGTCACATTTTATTTATCCATTCATTTTTTTGATTGGCTCTTGGGTTCTTACCACCTTTTGGTAACTGTGAATGTGGCAATGAATCCTGGTATGCAAATATCTAATTAAGTCCTGTTTTTAATTCTTTTGAGTATATAGCTAAATGAGAGAGTGGGCTGAGAGAGAGAGAGAGAGAGAAAAGTGGGGGCACCCTTACTTGATGGGAGACCCAGATCTACAATCATGACCAGCCATGCTTGTCTCTTTAGTTAGATGCAAAACCTCCTGCATGTGCTTGTACCAGATCAACTAGAACAAAAACAAAACCCATTTAAATGGCTCCAGATTCAAAGACCTGCACAATGTGTCCACAACTGATTTAATGGCTAGACAGCTTAACCAAGAAGGTCTGAACCCCAGATAGCAAACGATTGACATGGATTTGATCCTCACAAACACTTACCCGGGAACCTGCACTTTTCTTCTCAGGAAAAGCACATATCTAATTGTTAGAGGGCGGCCCATCCCAGGGTGTGCCACTTTTCTTCTCTGAGAGGTGAGGGGTATCCACACCCTGCTTTGCTTTGCAGTCTTTGCTAAGATGTCTTTGCTTGTGCTTTGTTTTTGAATTTGTCCTGAAATTCATTTTAAGAACCTCCCTGGGCTGAGTTGAGGTCCCACTGCCCCTAGGAGGGACCTTCATAAAACCCTGTCTGGTGACATAAGAAATAGAATTGCTAGGCTGTATAGTAATTCTGTTTAATTTTTTTGAGGAAACACCAAAATAGGAATTTTTTAAGACTCCAGAAAATGGGTTTTTTTCTCTTCTATGTGTTCTTCAATTACTGTATGGCCCATATATGTGGACATTCTAAATATACACATGTTCTTTACTCTGTCCTCCTCTGCTGTTGGAGTTGTTTAGTCTGTCTCCCCAAGGAGAGCAGACATGTCCTCTCAATTATTCCTGTACTCCTTGTTTTCAGCACAGTATGTATCAAACAGTAGGAGCCAAATAGGTATTTGATTTAATGAAAGCATGTGTGGGTCATTTTTAGGAATAATTGAGATTTATGAAATTTTAGAAAATCTTAGAACACGAAAGCTTTAGGATAATAATATATTTGTCTTTTCTATCCCTGTTTACTAGGAATTTGATAAGTATTTACAACATCATGACTTATTAAATACGAGAAGAAAAGAGATGTTATATAAAAGATGGGTTGACCATGTGGCAGATCCTCTCCAGAAGAAAATTATAGACAAAGTTTGTTCACATAAGAAGATTAAAAAAAGGAGACAAGAGGAATTAGATAGTTTTCTGAACTATGTAAATAAAAAGGTACTAAGAGATCATTTAATGCTTTTTTCATTGAGTTTAAACATTATGATTGTCTTTGTTTGCTTACTATCTAGTCATGCAGTCTGCTCCCTCTCCTCTTATGTATGTGCAACACATACCTGTGACAGCAGAAAACATTCCTACCTCCAGGACATGGGAAAGAATGGAGGAGGAGGTTGAGGCCCGGATTCAACTGTGTACACGGGAACCATTTTGAAATTGTTTATTTTATTTGCCAATTTAAAAAATTTGGACTCTAGGTTTAGGATATATTTTTCACTTGCTCTGAAACTTGAATAGTTGAAAAGTTATTAAATATTTCTGTTCTTTTTGCATTTTTAAAAGATTGCAGATGTTTGTTATAAACAAATTTCCAAATCTTTTGGTGTTCCAACAGTCTTCATTAAAATCTTACAAATTTTAACTAGATTCCTTTCATCACTATTATACGTATTTATTACTGGAATAAATTAAATTTAATTTCCAATTTAGTCTTCTCTTTCTTATTGCATTTGTCATTGATGATGCCACTTTGAAGCACAAGAATGAAACTGTGTTTGACTCTAGTCCTGCCATGCTCAAAACTAATTGTGTACCTTTTATTCTTACATGTGGTTTTATTTCCAACTTATAGGGAAATGCATTTATACAACATTATGATCCAAAAGAATATGATCCTTTTTGTATGAGCAAAGAAGACCCCAATTTCATGAAAGTAGGTAAATTTCTCATTTTAGTGTTGATGGTATGTGTCTGGTTATTTTGAGTGGCCCTACTATATAACTTGTCCTTTAATGATTCCTTAAAAATGCAGTAAGAGTTTAAGAATAGTTTTTCATCTCTGTATCTTAAGAAAAATCCCAAAGGCCAAAGTAAATTAAAACTTTGTAAAATTTGAAAATATTGTATAATAATTGGGTAATAGAAAATGCTTAAAAATTTCATAGACTTTTAAATTTGATACACAAGTTATCAATTTTCAAGATAGATCAATGAGAATATTGATTTTTCAAATGCAGAAAATAAAAAACAGTCATAATTCCATTACCCAGAGTTAATTCATGAACATTTTTCTGTATATCCTTCTAGACTTTCTATATTTATGTGCATATATATATATATATATATATATATATATATACATACACACACATATGTATAAAATACAAAAATACTCTAAATAAAATACAAAATACTGTCTCCAAATAAAATACAAAAAAGGGGGCTGGGGATATGGCTCAGTGATTAAGTGCCCTTATATTCAATTCCCAATATTAAAAAAAAAAAAAAAACTTTTTTAAGTAAATAATTAAAGAATGGGACTATATCATACATTTGATCTTATAATATGCTGTCACTTACAGCAACAATTTATGGATTGCTTTTCTGTCAATAAATACAAACCCATAACTTTAATCATTGCACAATATTCTATTATTAATAGCAGCTAACTTACACTGAAGCCTTAACCAAGCCTTAGAACTTTTTTTTCCCAATATCTCCCACTGTATAAGGTAATTCACACATGACAAAAGCAAAGCACAGATAGGTTATGTGTGAAAGTCACTCCACAGCAAACAGAAGAGTATAAATGTGTTTCTAATCATGTACTTACTTACCATACAGCCTCCTTTTAGCAGATTCCCCATTTGAATATGTAGATTGTTTTTGAGTATTGCTGTCATAAATGACTTATGATGCACATCTCTCTAGCCTGATATTTCTTGTTGTTTTCCCCACAGCCAAGTTGCTAGAAGTAGAATTGCTGAGTTCAAGGGTGTGCATGATTTTGATTCATACTGCTGGACAGTCCTCCAGATAGGCTGTGTAAACCTACACTCCCAGCAGAGTCCGTTTCTCCACCATTTGGCTAATGGTGGATATTATTAAACAAAATAAAATTTCCCCCAAAACTTCTTTGGGCCATAGACATTTTTAAGCTGCTGACATTTGTTCTGGAATTCTAGATCTTTTTTAAAAAAAACTGTGTGTGTCTGTGCATGCATACCATAGTCCCTATTTTATAGGTAAAAATTAAACTGAAAATTTAAGAGCTAGAGTTTTAGACTCACTTACTAGGAACACAGATATTGAGATTTTAAACTATATCTTTTTCATACTATCTTAGTTTGTTCCTCCTTCTAGCCCAAAATACTTTAGACTGGTTATATTGTTTATTAACAACAAAAACTTAACTGGGATGTGCAAGATCAAGATGCTATCCTTGAACACCTTCTAAAGGGCCCTTCTCACTGGTGAATTTGAACATAGGGATTTGGAAGGGACACAAACATTCAGACTATAGCAAATACTAGAATCCCATTGTTCTGTTATCTTACCATGTGCCAAGTCCTATGCAGAATGTTGTTTCTCTCTTTAAAGTTTAAAAATTGATTTGTTATTCATATATCACTAAGTGATATAAAAATACTTTAAAATGATAGTACTGCTCTTGTCTCTTTTTATAGCAAGTTGATGTCTTCTCTTTATAAGTAGCACTCTTCATAACTTCTGTAAAAGCACCATTCTAAAGGGCAGTCTGAGCGCTGTGTATTTTAACTCTAAAGTCATGTTGTGCATTCTATTTATCCCAGGATTATTACTAGAAAGATACATAGGTGACCCGGTATAATTTCAGACTAAGCTCTAAGCCATGAATGTGATAGTTGCTGAATTCTGTTTTTTATATAAAACTGTCACGTGATAACATTGGCCATTAAAATAGATCTAGGGCTTTACTATTGTAAAGTAAAATGATTTACATTTTTTTGGTATTTATTTTTTAGTTGTAGTTGGACATGATACCTTTATTTTATTTATTTATTTTTATGTGGTGCTGAAGATTGAACCCAGGGCCTCGCACATGCTAGGCGAGCATTCTACTGCTGGGCCACAACCTCAGCCCAGATGATTTACATTTTGAATAGCATTTTGCTAAAGTTTTGCATAATATTTAATTATGTTGGTAATTATGGATGCTAGGATTAAGACAAATATGTGGATACATTTTTTCCTTTTGTGAACAATGAAGGGATTTTAAAATTTAGGAATATATGGTAATGTAAAAGAAGTTTTGGAGGGGCTGTGGATGTGGCTCAAGCGGTAGCGCACTCGCCTGGCATGCGTGCCACCCGGGTTCGATCCTCAGCACCACATACAAACAAAGATGTTGTGTCTGCCGAAAACTAAAAAATAAATATTAAGAATTCTCTCTCTCTCTTTAAAAAAAAAAAAAAGAAGTTTTGAAAACAGAACCCACACTTTGAAACAAGAGCTAATCTTGCCTTTTTGACTATAGGGCCTTGTTAAGAGAAGTACTACAGTACCCCATCTCTTGTAATGGTTAAATATATAGAGAGGGTCTACATAATAGATATATGTTATAGAGATAGGTAGATGATAGATAGTAAATAGATGATAGATAGATAGATAGATCCTGCTATTAGTGTATAGACACTGTATTCTTGAATCTTCTGGTACAAGAGCCATATGTGGATAACCTACAATAGATGAAAACATTTACTCCTCAGACCTGCAATCCAGTCCTCAAATAAGCGCTTCTCTTGTAGGTTATCATCCCACCGTTTTGTGACCCTCTGAAAAAAGCACAATGTGACAAGGATGATGAAAGAAGAACTCTCCTTCAGTGTGAGACTGGTACTCAGCTTCAAGTTTTTACGTGGTTTCACAGTCCAAGAGCAATGACAGTTGCATTTAAGTGTGCTAATTTGGATTATTCATCTTCCTGCAGGCAAACTATATACAATGAAAGAATTTAAAGAAATTGAGAAGATCCAGTCCAGATTCCCAATAATTTCTAATTCGAGGCACTTTATGACTCCAAATGAGTGGCTGAAACTGCCTACAAGATACATAGAAAGTGAATTTTGTAAAAGGAGCAGGTAATGGCTGATATAATAGAAATTATGAACATTCTAGGCTTTGAAAATTCTTTCTTTCTTTTTTGGTGGTACCAGGGATTGAACCCAAGGGCGCTTTACCACTGAGCACATCCCCAACCATTTTTTTATATTTTATTTAGAGACTGGGTCCCACTAAGTTGCTTAGGTTATCCACATATGGCACTAAATTGCTGAGGCTGGCTTTGAACTCATGATCCTCCTGCCTTAAGTCTCCTGAGCCACTGGGATTATAGGCATGTGCCACCACACTGAGCAAAATTTTTTTCTTGAGACAGTGATAAAATGTTTTCAGTTATTATTGTTTTTTAAATATATTTTTTAGTTGTAGATGGACATAATATCTTTGTTTTTATTTATTTGTTTTTATGTGGTGTTGAGGATTGAACCCAGGGCCTCACACATACAAGGCAAGCACTCTACCACTGAGCTACAACCCTACCCCTCATAGTTATTATTTTTAAAAGTTTTCATTTTCAATGAAAAATCTATAATTCCTTGTTTCTCTGTGATATTTACTTGGGTATGGTCAGGATTTTCTCTTTATCTTTGGTTTTCATTAACTAGATTATAATGTTTTTTAGATTTGTTTATTTCTTTCTGTCTTACCTAAGGGTCTCTGAAATTAGTTTTTATTTTTATTTTTTGGTATTGGGGATTGAATTCATGGCCTCATGCATGCTAGGTAAGCACTCTACCACTGAGCTACACCCCCAGTCCTCTCAGATTCTTGTATCTGTGGTTTTATGTCTATTTTGGGGAGATTCTAGAACATTCTTACCTCAGTTTTTTTTATGCCCCAGTCTGCTATTTGTTTTTTTTTTTTTAATACTTCTGATAATCTAATTATGTCTGTTAGACCACTGCTGACAATGTCCACATTACTATAGCTCTTATTTTTTCTCTTTGCATTTATTTAGATGATTTCTACTGACATATCTTTAAGTTCACTGAGACTTTCCTCAGCTGTGTCCCATCTACTGCAGAGCCCATCAAAAGAGCGCTTCATTGCTGATATCATGATCTTTATTTCTAGCATTTTTGTTTTATATTATTCCACAATGTTTCCACTTTTCCTGAAATTCATCATTGGTTTAATACACGTTGTCTACCTTTTCCACTAGATTTTTTTTTTCCCCCCGGTGGACACAACATCTTTATTTTATTTTTATGTGGTGCTGAGGATCGAACCCAGTGCCCCGCGCATGCCAGGTGAGCGCGTTATCGCTTGAGCCACATCCCCAGCCCCTCCACTAGATTTTTTTTTTTTAACCATACTTATCACAATTATTTTAAATTCCTTGATAGTTCCAAGATTAGGATCACTTATGGATCTGGTTCTGTTGATTTTTTTCATCTCTGGACAATGTGTTATTTTATCTTGCTTTTTTTTTTTTTTTTTTTTGCATGCCTTATAATTTTTGACTGAATACCAGATATTTGAAGTGCAAGAATAGTATAGACTAATCTTTTTCCCTAGAAATCAATGTGCTGCATCTGTCAATCATTGGTGTGTACAATTGGGCTATATAGTCAGAAGTTGATCAGTTTGTGTACAGCTATGGTTATTGTTACTGCTAGTGTACAGGGCCTCAAACGCTAAGTTGCTTTGCCTTGTGCTTGAGGGGGGACTAGTCATTTTAATCATTTTATGCACCTAAACTTGCTTCTTTTGTGTTGTTAATTATAGGAAACATTAGGATTCTGCCTTATCTCTTTTGGTTTTTGCTACAGTGTGTTGAATCCCAGAGTCACTTTACCACTGGGCTACATTCCCAGCCCCACTCCCCTTTTAAATATTTTTAGTTGTAGATGGATGCAGTACTTTTATTTAATTTATTTATATGTGGTGCTGAGGATTGAACCCAGTGCCTCACACATGCTAGGCACTACTGAGCTCTACCACTGAGCCACAACCCAGCTCCTCAGCCCTTTTTATTTTCAGACAAGGACTCACTATGTTGCTTTAGGCCTCTCTAAATTGCTGAGGTGGCCTTGAATTTGTGATCCTTCTGCCTCAGCCTCCCAAGTTGCTAGGATTAACAGGTGTCCTCCACTGGGCCTGGCTTCTTCTTTATCTCTTTTTCTAATCCCTTTAATTAATTCAGCACTGAACCCTGTCATGCCTACTCTTACATCTTCTTCTATCTGCCCCTTCCTTAACAATCCCATACACTAAATCTGTACTCCACTGGCTGATCTGTAATAATAACAACAGCTTCTGTGCAAACGCGCTCTAACTACTGGGTCACACCCCAGCCACTTAAGTTTTGAGTTTTCATCATGTGTATTAGTTTCCTATGGCTGCCATAATAAAACACCACAAACTAAGTTGCTTAACACGAGAGAAATTTTTCTCTCACAGTTCTGGAGGCTAAAAGTCTAAGATCAAGGTGTTGGCCGGGCCGTGCTCTCTCTGAAGGCTCTGGGGAGGACTCTCCCTTGCTGTTCTCCTAGCTACTCGTGGTTGCTGGCAGTCCTTGGCATTCTTGGCTGGTAGCCTCTCTCTCCAACCCCTGCCTCCTTCATCACCTGATCGTCTCTGAGTCTGTGTCCAGGTTTTCTGCTTTTTATACGGAAACCTGGTATTGGGTTAGGACCCACCCTAATCTAGTGTTACTTATTTTAACTTCATTATATCTGCAAAGATCCTATTTCCAAATAACACTACATTCACATATACAAGGGATTAGGAACTGAATGTATCTTTGGAGGGGAACACACTTCAACCCACAACACCACAGTAATTCATTCAGTCAAAGAATTATGCATCCAGTTGTACGAGTTGTACTTGCCTTTAAAGAACCATAATCTAATTCAGAGGACATTTAAGTAGATTATTCTATCATAATGTGGCAAATGCAGTAACACTGAAATGCACAGGTTGTTACGGAAGCATAAAGAGAGACATCTCATAGAAACTAGTAGAAAAGAGATAAGAGTGGGATCTTGGATACAAATGGAAAAATAAGGAGAAGAATTAGTTTCTTAAAACTTAAATTGGGCTGGGGATGTGGCTCAAGCGGTAGCGCGCTCGCCTGGCATGCGTGCGGCCTGGGTTCGACCCTCAGCACCACATACAAACAAAGATGTTGTGTCCGCCGAAAACTGAAAAATAAATAATAAAAATTAAAAATATATATATATTTAAAAAAGACTTAAATCATTCAATGTTCTATTTCATACTTTTATTAATTTAAATATTATCTCCATTTTGGGTACATCCAAGGCGAAGCGTCCTCTGAGAAGTTAACAGGAATTCTGGGCAAGCTCTGTAGCACACAGTTGTGGGAAGCAGCTACAGCGAGGGAGGAATCCATATGTGCCTCATCTCATTTTATACATTTCTGGGGCCATTTTCCTTATCCTTGAAGTTCAGCCTTAGAATTCAATTTTTCTTTAAAGATAATTGACTGAGTACACAACTTTAGGTTGACATTTATTTCCTCCTAATGCTTTAGCTATATAATTTTTTGATCTCTATTGTTTTTTAATATATATTTATTTTTTAGTTCCAGGTGGACACAATGTCTTTATTTTGTTTTTATGTGGTGCTGACAATCGAACCCAGTGCCTCACGCATGCTAGGTGAGCGCACTACCACTTGAGCCACATCCCAGCCCTCTATTGTTGTTTTTTAGAGTCTGCTGACATTCTGATTTTTTTTTTTTTTGGTCCTTTCTCTGTGATTGCTTTTAAGAACTTTGCTTTGTCTTTAGCGTTCTGTGTTCTTTCTACAGATGTCTTTGCATGGATTTCTTTTTCTTTAACTGACTGGTACATGTTGTTTTTCCTGGATCTCCGTATTTATGTGTTTTACCAGTTCAGGAACATAGCAACGTAGCAACAATCACGTTAAATATTGCTTTTTTCCCCCTCATTATTTCCATTTTGGTTCTGGATTCAGAATACTAATATATATGTCTCTCAATATATGCTTTACATTTCCTGTCTCCTAATATATTTTCTATATTCTGTATCACCTTAGGTAATTTCTTTGGATATATTTTCTGGTTTGCTAATTCTTTCTTCATGGTGTTGAATATTAAAATTTTAATTTTTTAAAGTTTCTTCTTTGCCCCTATCATGTTTGTTCATTTCTGACAGGGTCTCACAGCTTTGCTGTCTTGCTGATTGGATCCTTTCTCTCTTTAAACACTTTATGCATTGCCATACTACATCCCTTATCTATGCCATCAAGATGCCCTACACAGGGCAAAAAAAACCTTCCATCAACTCTGAGGGCAAGACTGGAGGAACCTAAGGCACCCGTCTGGCACCTCATAGCAAGGGAGACTGGGAAATGGAAAGCTTGATTATCTCTGTGGAAAAATATTTTATGTTTATCCTTGTAAATGACACATCTTTACAACTTCTTTTTATATCCAAGTGTAAGCTCCCAGTGGATAGGGAGTGGCTTAAATTTTGCCTGGCTGATTCTTTGTCCTCAGTGAATAGTAGATCAATCCCCATCATGATTTCAGAGACTCTTAATTAATCTTGTCCAGTTTCAAGTAATGGTATTTTTGAGCAGATACCAAGCAGTCAGTGTGTAACAATGATTTCTGCATAAATTTAACTTAATATTGTTTTCAAAACATCCTCACACATGTTCTTCTGTTACAGGTTAAAAGTGAAAGTGAATGTTAATGCTAGTAGTCTTGATTTGAAACCTTCGGCAAGAGTGCCTCATCTGACGGAATACCAAGAAGAAAAGTCAGTCACTTACAAGTAAGCCTGCTATTGCTTGGCTTTGCTCTCCTTCCATTTAAATGCTTGCCTGTGCTGTCACCCTGCCATCCTTTCAATTGCTGGCGTCTGTGCCAAGGCCTCACCAGGCTCTCGTGCCACCTGACATCAGGCACTTCCCACTATGGTGTCTGGGTGATGTGACAACTTTCCTCTGGCTTAAGGAATAAATAACATAAATAACAAGTATAGAAATGGGGGAAATGCTTGAACTCTTGTACCTCTTGTTAAAGGTTAGGAGATTTTTAGTTAAATTGAAACAGTATAAATGGGGTTTGGGATGAGTTTTGGTAGATGGTAACTATTACAGTATTGTATCCAGACTGAAAAGATGTCATAAGCAGAGAAGCGGTGCCTACAACCACATGAAACATGGATCCTCTTAGTTATCCTCTTAGTTAACTAGTTATGCAATTAAAAGTAAAGAGATTTCTGTATGTAATTACATAACTTGTAGTACTCTGATTGACAGATTGCTGGAGGAAATGTAAAAAAGTATAGCAACTCTGGAAAGCAGTTTGGTAGTTTCTCAAAATGCTAAACACTAGATTACCATATGACATAGCAATTCAACAAATAGCTTTCTCCTTAGGAGAAATAAAAACTTATGTCCATATAAAGGTCAGGATGTGAGCATTCATAGCAGCATTGTTCACAATATCAAAAATAAAATAATGGAAACAACTCAAATGTTCAACTGATGAATGGATGAACAAGGAGTAGCCATATGATGGAATATAATTCAGCAATAAAAAGGAAAGAAGTTGCCGCGTCCGGCTAACAGAGCCGAGTCCGGCCAGGGATGGCGGGGTTAAAAATACACAGGACACCAAGGTTCTTCATTCAGGAGGGAGCGTGTGCGCGCTTTATTGCCAAATTTGTTCCCCTTATATATCTTTTTAACAGCTGCGGGAAATTACTCAAAAGTGAGGAGGGGAGAGTAATAACTGCGTCCTTGGGTTACCATCACGTCACCGTCCCCTATCAGGATCGAACAGGTCAAGATGTTCCCAAGAGACACATATGCTCCAGGCAGATAAACAGGGAACCGCAAGCCCGCGTCATGGCCTTGTGAGCTGGCCACATTGACATGCATAACAAAGAACTGGGGGTTGAGTCCCCAGGGGCCAGGGCGGGCCTGCTACCAGCAGAAGTACTGATACAACATCATTAGACTCGGCAAAGGAAGCCAATCACAAGTGATTGTTTTCATATGAAATGCCTACAAAAGGCAAATCTATGGAGGTAGAAGGTGCATAGTGGTTGCCAGTGGTGGGGAATGGAAGTCGCTGTGGATAGGCATGAGGTTTTGGGCCAATGGAAATGTTCTAAAATTAGATCATGGTCATGACTGCACAGCTCTGTGAATATACTGAAAACCATTGACTTTACACTTAAAAATGGGTGGCTTTTGTGGTATGTAAATTGTACCTCAGCAAAGCTGTAAAAAAACAAAGTGGAAGAAAAATGAGCTTACATTTCATTGTGCAGGAGGTTGGCCTACAGGTCCCTGTTCCAAAAAGTGCCAGAGTAAGCAGCCATGGTTTCCCTTCCTTTTCCTGAATAGGTTTGGAACTTGGTTTGTAAATGCCAGGCGGCTGCAGCTGGGGGCATTTAGGGCAGCTGGCTTGGTGCCGGCAGGGCTACTTGCCCTGCTCTCTCAGTGGTTCTGCGGAGGCTGAGGAGGCAGAAGCACTGGAGTCCAGAGTTCAGGACCAGCCTGAGCAATGCAGCTGCTCAGGAAAAAATAAATAAATTGTCTCGGGAAAAAATAAATTAAAAGAAAAAATAGAAATGGATGATGTCAGAGATGGAGTTAACTGGTGTGCACTTCTCAGAGTCCCTGAGGTGACGCAGCTTTGTTCCTTATTCAGCGCTGGATAAAGGAAGTACTGGAACTAAGCCCTATTTGCTCAGTGGTTGAAGGCCTTAAAAGATAGAATGATTCAGAATCACTTGTGTATGTCAGAGTCCAAAGGAATAAGTCTCTCTCTGTACCCTGACTGCTGTAGTCTCAAACAGAATAACATGTCTGGATAAGATTTTAAGGATAATCAATATCTTCATCCTAAATTCTCTCAATTGGGAAAAAAAAAAAAAAAAAAGAGAGAGAGAGAGATTTTGTTTTCAAATACCTCTTGTAGCAGAGTGTGACCCAGATCAGAAGGGGAATATCACCTTGTTGGGGAACCTGGGAGTTCGTATTGAGGCTTGAGTGTAAAATTCCATCTGTAAAAGGAGGGAGACTGGAGTCTTCCGTGGATGAAGGAAGTGTTCCAGTGAGGGCCACCGGTGGAGAGGCAGGCTTGTCTGTGGCAGAGTTAGATCACCCCAGACTGGAGAGTTGCACCTGGGGCTCGTTCATTCCCAGGGACCCAGGCTCAGCTGATTAAGCAACAAAGAGACTTAAGATGCAAATAATACTAGGGTAAGGTAATTCCATTTATTTGGGTTTCTTTTTCATAAAATCATGTAAATTCATATAGAACCTGAAAGGAAAGTGACCACAACACTCGGAGCAACCAAAAGATCTTTATTGCAGCAGTGCAACAAAGAGAAAAGAAAGAAGGAAAGAAAGAGAGAGAAAAGAGAAGAGATGAACAGGGAGAGAGCAAGAGCAAGAGAGAGAGAGAGAGCGCGCGCCTAAGAAAGATAAAGAGCAAGAGAGAGAGAGCAAGAGAGAAAGAGCAAGAGAGAGAGGGAGAGAGAGGGGGGCCTGGCAGGAGGGAGTTTTTATAGCCCAAATCTAATGGGGCCTCTGGGTCTGCAAGCTGCCTTGATGGCCCAAGGGGGGTTGAGTGCTCAGCCTTGAGCGGGACTTGACACAAACAGGTGATAAAGGACCAGACAGAGGGGGGTTTGAGTGCTTGGGCTATCTTGCAGCCAACATCTGTTCAGCCTGCCCTGCAGACAACACAGTTCAGCCTGCTCTGCACCCAACAGAACCCATCAATTTCTTTTTTTTAAAATTTTTTTTTAGAGAGAGAGAGAACTTTTAATATTTATTTTTTAGTTTTTGGCGGACACGACATCTTTGTATGTGGTGCTGAGGATCGAACCTGGGCCGCACGAGGCGAGCGCGCTATGGCTTGACCCACATCCCCAGCCCTCAATTTCAATCTTAAATAAAAATGTTAAGTGCTACAATTGAGTTGAGAGTTAAGAGAATCCCTTCCTTCCCGGTTCCTCCCTACAGAAACAAAGGGCCATCCTTTCCGGAAAAAGAACCTCTCTGTTATCAGGAGGGAAAGAACCCAAGTACTACAGAGGCCAACTCTGAAGAACATTTTTCTTCCTTAAATGTCAACCAGGAGGCAGAAAAGGATGAAGACCAGGATGGGCGAGAGCCAGGGCAGCACACGGGGCAGCCATTGCAGGCACCACAGTCTGAGGAGCCGGGAACTGCGTGGTGTGGCAGGCTTCCGAGAGGAGGGGTGGGACAGGAGAAACTGAGAGGCGGTGTCCTGTACTCAGAAGGAACGGAGAGCTGTCGGCTGCATCCCTGCAACTTGGCAGAGCTGCACATGGAGGTGCCGTCTGCTGGGGGGCCTGTGCTGTGCGGGATTTCCCTGGCTCCCTCTCCTGAGGTCCCACCTGTCTATTTTCCTACCAGTTTCTACTATTTGCCACTTAAACCCAAGCCAGGCCAAAGTTTTGTTCCCTTAATTCAATCAAGACAGAAAATTTTCCAAAGGACCAACACTAAATTAAAGTAGTAAAATTTAAAAGCAAAAGCCCCCAAATGTAAACTGTATAGAAAATATAGGTGTCCATAGAGTTCAGAGCTCTCATAAGAGAGCCACAGTGAAATGTGCCGGACCTTGCCTAGACTGCTTCCAGGACTGGGCGGAGCTCTTCCTCAGTTCTCTCCACCAGTTGTCCCAACTTTCTGGAGACAGCCTCTTTTTGGAGTGGCTTTAGAGAGGTCAAAATGCTTACTCCTCCTCCTCCTCCTCCTCCTCCCTTCCTAGTTAGAATTCATCAGTGAGCGCGCAGCTCAGAGGAGGTCAAGGTGCGACTTCCTTTGGTTGCCCTTAATCATTTATCTGACACCAGCCGGTATGTGCCATGCTGCCCAAGTTCAGCCCATCAAGATCAAATTTGTGAACCTGAGGTGTACTGATGGCCCCCGAGATCAGCCCCCTGGGTCTGTCTTCAAAAAGGTTGGTGGTGACATTGCCAAGCTAGCTGGTGACTCAAGGGCCTGGGAATCACAGTGAAACTGATTGTAAAGACAGGCCCAGATCAAAGCTGTACCCTCTGTCTCTACCCTGATCATCAAAGCCCTCAAGGAACCTTCGAAAGACGGAAAGAAACGAAAAAACATTAAACACAGTGGTAATATCAATTGGGATGACATTATCAAACTTGCCCAACAGATGTGGCTCTGCCTTTAGTTAGAAAACTTTCTGGAATTCTTCAAGAGATCATGGGGGCTGGCCAGACTGTAGGCTGCAATGTTGATGGCCGCCACCCTGAGGATATCATAGATGACGTCAACAGCAGGATGCCCAGCTAGTTAAGAGGTACGAAAGACAATATTTCAACAAAGGATCGCCTGTGGAAGAAAAAAGAAAGATGGAGAAACGTGAAGAGCCTGTGTCTCATGTGGCGATCTGTCCGTCTGACTTCTTTCCTGTCTCTCCATTTCCCTACTCCCTAACGGATTTTTTTACTCATGAAAATTTATTAAAATTTCATTTTGTGTCTTAATTCCTTTTACTACCACTTTCAGTACCCTCCCCAGTGTTTGTTTGCTTCCTCAAAATTTTAACATGCACCTAGACCTGCTCTGAGCCAGGCAGCATTGGAGGGGCTGGGGACTTAACGAGGCACAAAGCAGAAAAGCTCTCATCAGTGGCACTTGCATTTTGATGGGGAGACAGACCATAATCAAAAGTCCACCTGTATCATCCTGCAAGTTAGTAATAAGGACAGGGGTGTGGGGTGGGGATGGGCCAGGAGGGGAGTCAGGGAAGGTTCTCTGAAGAGACGTGCGCAGCAGCAGCCTGAGGAAGTGAGCCAGACACATGGATTGGCACAGGAGACTGCCCAAGATGGGACTGCAGTTGGCATGTTCAGGAAACAGCCAGGGCCAGCGAGGCTGCGACACAGTGAGTGTGGAGGGAAAGGCAGGGGACAGGCTGTACGAGGGTCACAGGCCACGACAGGGAGCTGGAATACAAGACAAAGTGGGATGGGAAGCCTCTCCAAGGAGAAATATGATCTCAACCTTTTCAGCGAAAGAATTAAGGCTGCTGTACACCCTATCATAGGAGCAGGAGAGCAGCTAGGAGCCGGGACTAGGAGAGTGGGGTAGACATCTCCTCTCTTTCCCATCCTCCTCTTTATTTCTTATCTCTGCATCATGCCACTGTGATTCTAGTCTCTTCAGAGTCCTAGTGGGAGGAAGAAAGAGGTAGTGGGGCAGGAAGTCTCTTATCCCTAAAGTTTTTTGTTTGTTTTGTTTTGGTATCAGAGATTGAACCCAGGGTCGCTTAACCACTGAGTCACATCCCCAGCCCTTTTAAAAAATATTTTATTTAGAGACAGGATATCGCTAAGATGCTTAGGGTCCCGATAGGTTGATCAGGCTGACTTTGAACTTGTGATCCTCCTGCCTCAGCCTCCCGAGTTGCTGGGATTACAGGCTTGTGCCACCTCACCCAGTTCCTCTTACCTCTAATGTTATGATACCTAGTTTAGTCTAAAGCATCCTCTGGGACACTTTCAAGTGATCTTCAGAGAAAACTCCTATTGCTGGAGATTTCTCATCTGAGGGTTTCTTTTCCAGCTGGTTGCTTATGACTCTACCCCTCAGCCTCTGATGGAAGTCCCACTACTCCTTCTGCAGAGATTTGCTCCTTCAGGCAGGATCCAAGCCAACACAACCTGGGTCCATTTACTTAGGTGGGCTCATCACTGATCTACTGCAAACATGCGTCCCAACACCTGATGTGTTGTCAGGAGTGCTCGCAAAACACCAACAACTCTTTGCAAAAAAAAATATAAAAATAAAAAAAAAAAAAACACTCCTCTTCAGTTTAAATTCTTGACCTCTTTTTTAATATATATATATATTTTTAGTTATAGTTGGACACAATACCTTTATTTCACTTATTTATTTTTATGTGGTGCTGAGGATCAAACCCAGGACCTCGTGTGTGCGAGGCAAGTTCTCTACCACTTTAAATGTATATATATATTTTAGTTGTTGATGGACCTTTATTTTACTTATTCATATGTGTTGCTGAGAATCGAATCCAGTGCCTCACAAATGCCAGGCAATGCTCTACCACTGAGCTACAGTGCCAGCCTCTGACCTTTGAATACCCCTCATGTGGATGAGTAGTTAAACACTACACCAGTTTCACCTCTACTTTGCAAATCTGAAGAGTGGTCTCCACACCTCTCTTTAGAACATAGCATCTATTGCCTAAGAGACTCAGAGACTAGAATCAGGTGCGCGTCCATCCGTACCTGTGATCTGCCCATTCCACATCCCCCGGGGCCACGCAGTGGGCAGCAGCACGCACAGGCTGGAGCTGGGAGAACAGCCTTGGGTGGAGATGAGACTTTGAGCCATCTTCACAGAGATGCTATTTGATTAGGAGATCACATGGCAGTGAGTGTCAGGAGAAGGATGAGGACTAGTCCCGAGGAACTCCAAGATTTAGAGGCTGGCAGGAGGAGGCAGAGCCAGTGGAAAAAACGTGAAAGGAGCAAGTGGCTGGCCACCAAGGTAGGAAGAAAAGGAAAAGCGTGGTGTCGCAGAGGCCCAGAGAGAGAGGGTGTCAAAAAAGAGGGCACCACCATTATGTCACAATGCCGCCAGGCGGCAAGCAAAATGAGGACTGAGGATTTCCTCTGTATTCAGCAAGACTGAGAAGCAACTGGTGACTTCATCACTGAAGTTACCGTGGAGCCGTGGAGCCATGGAGCCGTTGGAAGGAAAGCTTGATGAGAGGGGATTCAAGAGAGGACGGGGTGAGGGCGGGAAGACAGGATATCAGCAAAACTTTTGTGGAATTTTGCTATCAGGGGAGTGGAGAGATGGGTTGGTGGCTGGAGAGGGTCGGGGACAAGGAAATGTTCTTACCAGATGCCAGATGCCATGACTTGTGCAGTCTCCCAGTGGAAATGCACCAGCGGGAGAGCAAATTGATGGCGGGGGGGGGGGGGGGGGGGGGGGGGCGCTGGCGGGAAGAGCAGGAGGTGAAGAGGCGGCATCCCCGCCCGCCTGTGCAGGCGACAGAATCGAGGTTCCCCTCAGTGGGATGGGCTGGCTGTGGAATAAAAGCTAAGAAAGAGGAGCTGACGATATAGCCCACTTGACAGAGTGCTTGCTTGGCATGCCCAAGGCTCTGGGTTCAGTCCCCAGCACCACTAAATAAATTAAAAAAAAAAAAAAGCTAAGAAAGAGGAAATAGTGAAAAAACTGGAGGACATGGAAAGTAATTTTAAAAAGCAGGGGCTGGACAGACCAGCCCATCTTAGGGATACAGCTTCTACACGACCCTCCAGTGGTTCACAGTGGCTCCCCGCAGGGGTCCTGGGCTGAAGCCCACCACAGTTTCCTTGTAGTGGGAGGAAGGAAAGCAGAGTCTGGATAGAGATGATGTTAGCTGGGCCGATTCCATGAAGGAAGATGGTTTATTTCTGCTCATTTTCTCAATGACGTGAGGTCATCAGCTGATGGTGAGATGGGGTTTAGGGAGATCTAGAGGTTTGACCAAAGAATGGAATCCAGTATTTTCTAAATCACAACCATCTCAGTATAAATTACTACTCCAAGTCTACTGACCTCGGAAAGCAGGACCATTGGGGGTCCTTCCAATCATATCACGCATTGGTGACCTGCTCCATCCACGCTATGGCTGGCTCTGTCCCTGGTATTTCCATGTTTCCGAATCTAGACAGAGCAAGGCAAGGCGGAGGCAGGGGACTCAGGAGACCTGCCTGCAAGATTAATCTCTCAGCTCTGCCAGGACTAGGCTTCAGGGGCCTCCGCTCAGCTTAGTTGCTTGTACTATCGCAAGCCCCTCGCCACTGCAGCACACTCAACTGTTCCCTTTTGTCACCTTCCAAAGGTCTCAGCAATCAAGGAGCATACAGTGGGAAGGGGACACAAGACAGCTGTTTTAGGAATTTACCTGCAAGCAGGAATCCTGCAGGTGAGGACTGAGGAAAGCCCACACATCCTGTTCTATCTCTAAGGAAAACATCTGCAATAATTTTTTTTTAATCATTCGTTTTTCAGCTCAATGCCTACAGCAATTAAGAAATGGCAATACCATGGATGGACAGTTATTGCAAAGGTATTTTCCCCAGAAATTAAAAAATGTTGCTGAAACAATTCACAATAGCTAAATTGTGGAACCAACCTAGATGCCCTTCAGTGGATGAATGGATAGGGAAACTTTGGCACATACACACAATGGAACATTACTCAGCATTAAAAGAGAGTAAAACCCTGGCATCTGCAGGTAAATGAATGGAGCTGGAGAATATCATGCTAAGTGAATCAAGCCAATCCCAAAAAAGCAAAGGCCGAATGTTTTCTCTGATATGAGGATGCTGACTCATAATGGGAGGAATGGAGGAGCTTTAGATAGGGCAAAGGGGAGGGAGGGGAAGGGGGAAGGGAGGGGGCAAGGGGGTAGGAAAGGTGGTGGAATAAGATGGACATCATTCCCCTAAGTTCATGTATCAGACATGAATGGTGTGAAAATACTTTGTGTACAATCAGTGTCTTGAAAAATTGTGCTCTATATGGATAATGTGAAATGATTTGCATTCTGCCATCATGTATAACAAATTAGAATAAATTTTAAAAATGAATACATTTTAAAAAATTTTTGCTGAAAGGTCTAATAAAAATGATAGTGATCTTATTGAGTTCCTGTTTATTGTTTCTAAATTAAGGTATGTTTCCTTTGGTCAGGCACCCTTAAAATCCACGTCCACATATCCTCCCCAGGTTTTTCCAGTATTCTCTAGAGAACTGAAAAGTTCATCGTGACTGCTCACTTGCTGATTGGCATTCGGAACATCACCCTGGGGCTCATGTGGAGTTTCAGTCCTCGTCATGGTAAAGCACAGGACACAGTGCAGGGGAGCAGAATTTAGCCTTCCTTAGGCAAAGGGGATCTTTTTAAAGGACTTGAAGAATTATCATATCTGCTTTACTGATGTATAAATAGAGGCACAGAAGGAAGACGTCATTTGCCAAAGGTCGCCTGGCTAGTAAGGGAAGAAGAGAGGTGAACACAGCAGGGCAATCGAGGTGGTACGACACTACAGCAGCAGTCAGTGGCGCTGCTGAAATCAGACATCCCTGGTATGTGGGAAACAAGGGGCTTCTGAAACCCCCTGCAGCATACAGCTGGGTTTACCTGAAACTGCCAGATTTTCATTTTCTGTAAATATTTTATGCCTCCAGCCTGCATAGTGTGGTACCAAGCAAGAATTTACAATTATTCTTGCAAATCACTCACAGATATTAAGGAAAACAGAAACAGAAATAACAATAGACCTGAGAAAACTAGATGATGAAAATCCAAATTATGAAATAGGAGGGAGAGCAGGAGACTAGGAGGAAAGACAGATGATGGCTTTGGCTGCAGGGGACAGAATGCACCGACCAAGGGCTTTCCCCATGCTGAGGGTCACCCTGCACTGCAGAGGCAGAGGCAAGACCCCCAGCTCCCAGCATCCCGGGACCCGAACAAAGAATCTCATGGCCAGACATTTGGCTGCAAGAGTCTGCTCCTGTGATGGTGGTAGAAGAACGACACGGACAGCCCTCTGGCTGCCTGTCTCTGTTGGCCAAGGAGAAGAAAAGCTAAAGGAACTCAGGAAATCCCAGGTTACAGGGAAAATCCTACCAGCGTGGGGCACAGTCCCAAGGGTCTCTTTCACTAAAACTTCCCGCAAATAGTTAGTTTGGAAAACACTTACTTCATTCACAGACGAGTCATCAAAAACGAACTGGCACGAGGTCCAGAGAGAACATAAAACACAGCAAGGAAACAAGTGGGGGAGGGGATGACACAAACACCCACCAGATAGAATTCATGATCAAACAGTGTGCCATGATTCAAAAAACTAAGCAGAGTTCTCTACTACAAGAGATTCAAAACAGCATTATTCCGAATCGCCAAAATGGAGACAATCAAATGTTCATTACTGATAAGTAGGTAAAATGAAATGTGTTATATCCATAAAATAGAATATTATTTGGCAATAAAAAAGAATGGTTTTGTTTTTGCACTGCTGGGGATACAACCCCGGGGTTGGAGCATACTAGGCAAGTGCTGCACCACTGAGCTGCCTGGCCCAGGCCTCTCTCTTCTTGAAAAAAAAAGATTAGATCATGAACGTGGGTCGAGACACCTCCAAAAAATATATAGTAAAAGGACTCAATGGGAACACTGACTCTGTGAACTGTAAGAAGAGACGCCCCCCCAAAAAAAGTGGTCATGGTGATGGGACGGAATTAAAGTGTTATGAACACTGCTACAAATTAGGAGGGGAAGAGGAGAAAATCATAAAAATATACCAGTTTCCTTGCTTTTCACAAATGATATTTGAACCTGTTAAATCAATAATGTAATAGTTGGTCTATACCCAAATGACTTAAAAACAGCATACTACAGTGACATAGCCACATCCATGTTTAAGGCAGCTCAACTCACAGTAGCCAAGCTATGAAAACAACCTAGGTGTCCTTCAGTAGATGATGGATAAAGAAAATGTGGTACTTGTACACAGTGGAATATTACTCAGCCATAAAGGAGAATGAAATTATAGCATTTGCCAATAAATGGATGGAATGGAGAATATCATGCTAAGTGAAGTAAGCCAATCCTGAGAAACCAAAGGCAGAATGATCTCTCTCATTTGTGGATGCTAACCCCAAACAAGGGAGTTGGACTGGAAAAGGGAAACGAAGGGAAGGAAGAGAAGGAGGGAATAGGAGAGAGTAAAATCAACTGGTCAGAACTTTCCTAGCCTTGTATTTGCATCCATGACCAGGCAAACCCACATGATGGGCAACCTCAAGAGTGGGATCCTAAATAGAATAAGTATGCTCTATGTATCATTCTGCCAAAATGCCTTCTACTGTCAGGTACAACTAAAATAAAAATTAAAAACTTAATAATGTAATAGAAAATCAACTGGACCAGCCCCTGAGCCCAGCATAGAGCTCCTTCTTTAGGGTGGGAAAGACCCGGACAGAGCTGCCGGCTACCTGGAGCTAGCTTGCAGACTGCGGGAAGCTTGATCCCATCAGGGGCGGAGGTGGTGTTGCTGGGGGCGTTATAGGTCCTTCCTTTATTCCCCCCACCCCATACCAGGGGTTGAACCCAGGGACACCCTAGCAGTGAGCCCCATCCCCAGCCCTATTTATTTATTCATGGTACCAGGGATTGAACTCAGGGGCACGCAACCACTGAGCCCCAGCCCCAGCCCTAGCCCTATTTTGTATTTTATTAGAGGCAGGGTCTCACTGAGTTGCTTAGTGCCTTGGTTTTTTGCTGAGGCTGGCTTTAAACTCGCGATCCTCCTGCCTCAGCCTCCACAGCCGTTGGGATTACAGGCGCGGGCCACCCTGCGCGCCCGGCCCTTTTTATTTTTTTCATTTTGAGACAAGGTCTCGTTAAATTGCTGAGCCTGACCTCGAACCTGTGACCTCCGGAGGCGACCTCCTGCCCCGGCCTCCGCAGGCGCGGGGTCGCGGGCTGCGCGGCTCCCTGGGCGGGCGTTAGAGGCCGCCTCGGGCGCGCGGGTTCGCGCACCCCAGCCACCGGCGGCCTGCGACCTCCTGGCGCCGGACCAGGACACTGCGCAGGACCAGGCGGGCGCGTGTGGTGGGACCTGCGGCCGCTGGAGAGGGGCGGGCGAGGACCCGGGCGTCCCTAGTTTGCCTCTTCTCCCCCGAGGACTCCGGTCTATGGCTGCCACGTCCAACTACGCTGAACATTTCAGTCCAGAGAACTTAAAAAGATGGCCCCAGCCCGAGTCCGTGCCGCTCATGGAGGTGAGGCGCCCATCAACCGCCGGGGGTGGCTGGACACCTGGCCGGGCTGGGGGAGGCCGGCGCGGGGAGGCCAGCTGCCCCGCAGGGGCTCCCGGGCAGTTCCTCGCACCCAGGTCTGGTAAGGATTCCCTCGTGAGCACAGCGTGGTTGTCTCTACCGCCCTCTGATTGGCCTCCTTGTAAGGAAAGTTCTGCCTATTTTCTTACCCATTTCTTTAACAAACAAAAAAGGTGGTTTAACAACCTGACCCGGAGCCGGCGCGGTGCACACTCCTGTAATCCCAGAGATCTGGGAGGCCCAGGCAGGAGCATCTAAAGGTCGAGGTCAGCTTTAGTATGATTTAGAGAGACCTTGTCTCAAAATAAAAATCCAAAGGGCTGCGGATGTGGCTCCGGGGTTGCGCCCCTGGGCTCAGCCTGCCACACAGCACAACAGACAGTGTGTGTGACATCTGCTTCCTCCTCCTCAGGGGTGGCTGGGGGGCGGGGGGGGGGGGGTCCCAAGACAGTTGTCAGATTTCTACTTCTCCAAATAGAATGATTGATTCTAAATTTATAGTTTAGTATCGGGAAACGTGTTTGTTTTACATACGTTTTCAGTTTCCTTCTTAAAATAAGTCTGAGAAGGCTTTGAAGTGAGATTCTGTTTACACCATAAAGAGCATTTTTTGGAGATTATCCAACTAGCTGTTCAAATATCATTTTAGATTTCACATGAAGATATGAAACTATGGATAAAAATAAAGCTCTCCTTTCTGAGATTTCTTTATTTACAGATGGGGTATTTTGATTTGGGGTTTAGTTGACTTTGATGCAAAAGTGGCAGGAACAGAAAGAAGAACCAGAGATGGAATAACAACATTTTAAGAACCTGTATGATTTTTCACTAGAGAAAATTATTCCAGGTATCTCTTCCAGATGCTGGTGGGGTTGTTTTTTTTTGTTGTTGTTTTGCTTTGCTTTGTTTTTACTGGAGGTTGAACCCAGGGGTGCTTAACTAATGAGCCACATCCCTAGTCCTTTTTATTTTTATTTTGACACAGGCCCTTGCTAAGTTGCTGAAACTGGTTTTGAACTTGTGATCCTCCTGCCTCAGCCTCCCAAGTCGCTGGGATTACAGGCGTGGGCCACAGTGCCAGGCTCAGAGACTGGCTTTTTATTGCCCTTTCATTTTTCCTCCTTAACAATATAGGAATCAAAACTGCAGACCAGTTTATACTTATCCAAACGAAAAAGCCCCACAGTGAAGATTTAAAGGCATCAGCTTCACTCAAACTCATAATGGAAACAGAAAGTCCCTCGTGTGAGACAAGGTCTGTAAGAAGTCAGAAGCTGGGACAAGTAGCTTGGAGACTCTAGATGTTGCTCTCAACAGAACTTCCTGTGTTTTTGACCTATGAAGTGACCTTTCAGAAGTTAGGAGACGTCAAGGGCCCTTTAAAACATACCTAATAAATGAGTACCCGAAAAGAGGCTTCAATTTGTACAGGATCCCTTTAATTAGTAAGCTTCTTGGTACTTAAAAAATGACTTAATGGTATGATGTCAAGGGTTTTTAAAAATATTTTCAGTTGTGGATGAACACAATGCCTTTATTTTATTTATTTTTTAAATGTGGTGACGAGGATCGAACTCAGTGCCTCACACATCTGGGCAAGCGCTCTACCTCTGAGCCACAACCCCAGCCCTGATGTCAAGGATTTGTCTCAGAGTCATCTGGGTGGAGGGCGGAAAATGAGTAGGGATTTAGATGACATGAAATTGACTGTGAGTTGATCATTGATGAACCTAGATGATGAGTTTTCACAATCTTCCTTAATAAAAAGTTACACACTGTGCTTTGAGGTGCAGCCATTAGATTTACACTAAAGCTATGGGTAACCTACACTGAGACTTGTCATTCTGGTTTGTTTCTTCAGGATTAACCTCCTCCTCTCCAATTCTGTAATTTTAGGTATTAGCTAGAGAAGACATTGATGAAGCTGTACATGCAATATTATTTCGAGAAAATTATGTTGTGAAGGTAAGCGCTGGCTACAGACTGTGTGTTCTAAGTGTGCTCTGGGGGAGCAGGAGGGATGCAGAGAGCATGACCGAGAGCTGGTGTCACCCTGTGTTAGTCGGGTTTCTTCACTGCAACGAATACCTGAGATAAACCACTTAAAAAGAAGAAAGGTTTATTCTGGCTCCCAGCTTCAGAGGTTTTAGTCTGTGGTCACTTGGCCCCATGGTTTTGGGCCTGTGGCAAGGCAGAACCTCATGGTGGGGAGTGCATGCTGAAGCAGAGTTGCCCATCTCACAGCAGCCAGGAGGCAAAAAGAGAGAGGAAGGGGCAGGGGTCTCAATCTACCCCCCAGTGACCTACTTCCTCCAGTAAGGCCTCGCCTCCACCACCCCCAATAGTGCTGTCAGCTGGGACGAGCATTCAACTCTCTGGGATGACTTACTGTCCAAACTGTAGCACCGCGTCAAAGAGACTCATTTTGCAGGGAGAATGAGGCTCCTCTAATTCACTCCTTATACTGCAGAGACCTGAGATTGTGCCACCTCCTTGCAGGATCACTAAGAGTCCTGAATCCTGTTTGTGTCTGAGGGATTGTTCTAACTGCTCCCCTTCTTTGTCCTAGGACTACATAGAAATTCTTTCCTCCTGAAACTTGCCTCCTCCTCCTGTATCTCCTAAAATCACCAAAACGAATTAGTATTCAAGAGTAACGATCCATCATCACTATGGAATTAGTAAACTTAAGGGGGGTTGATCTTAGTGAGGGGGATTGAAATTGGGAGTTCTAATAATACTTTGACATTTGTATTGTGGTTTGCAGTTGAAGAAAATACACATATGTTCTCATTTGGGCATCAAAGGTGGTAGGTGGGAGTAGCCTGTTTATAGATCGGAATGAGGTGTCTAAACAAATTTGGTTCTCTTTTTTGCTCTCCCAATTTAGTCACAACCTTTTCTGATGATAAGGGCTGGACATGGACTGGGTAACCAGAAAATGTTTTGAAATCCTTAAAAAGAAGCAAAAAAAAAAAAAAAAAAATTGGTGAGTTAGAAACAGTTTAATCTGGTTAATGAGTTAAATGCAGGTCAGTATGAAGGCACGGTGTGCCTTAGGACTGTTCACGACTTCTTCCTGCTCCGTGCTCTCAGGATCTTGTGCTAGGACTTGGCAGCCAGAATGTGGTGGATTGCTCAGGAATAGAGACAAGTGTGTCTTCCCCTCACCCTATATTCAAATCCCCATAAATGGAAAATTTCTTAATAATTTGTTTTGTTTGTATTCAATAGAGATTGGATACATATTTTCAGCATCTGGATACTTTTAAGGAAAGAAGAAAAGAGATGTTACACAGAAAATGGATTATGAATGTTGCAGAGCCCATTCAACAGAGAATTATGGGAAAAGTAACTTCAAATAGAGGAGCTGAAAAAACAAAGCGAGAGAACTTTGAATGTTTTTTAAAATCCACAGATAAAACGGTACCGAGTTTTTTTTTAATAAATGTCAGTTTTTTCTATTTTTCTATCCATAATATTTCTTAATATTTTCCATTCATCTCATCATACTCACATTTGCCTGATGGTGTTTATAGCTGCAGTGGGGGAGGCGCTAGTGACTCTTCTCCTCCCTGTTCTTTGATCAGGAAGCAGTGGGTCCCCGGGATCCCCTACCCAGCTTTCCCATAGCTCTCATTAGCCAGGACTGGGTCATGTGTCCACGCAGGGTCAGGAGAGAGCCTTTCTAATATCTGTGGTCAGCCAGCCATTGATACAGGGCTAACAGTTCAGCTCTTCAGACTGGCTTTACAAAACAACATGCGTTTGGTTTCTTACTTTGAAGATGTTTTTTTCTTTTAACTTTTGAGGTCAGAAGTCTCCTTAGGAATTTAGGCCCACCTATTTGCAGTACCAAATTTGTCTACAGTGTTTTCACTCTGTTTTTTTTTGGGGGGGGGGGGGTGAATACCAGGCATTGAACTGTGAGGGGCACGCGACCAGCGACCACTGAGCCATATCCCAGCCCTATTTTGTATTTTATTTAGAGACAGGGTCTCACTGAGTTGCTTAGCGCCTCGCCATTGCTGAGGCTGGCTTTGAACTTGCAATCCTTCTGTCTCAGCCTCCCGAGCAGCGGGATTACAGGCATGTGCCACCATATCCAGCCACTCTTCATTTTTTTTTGGTCCCCCTCCTTAGGTATTTACTGGAGATGTAGAACAGTTTAGTTGGGATGTCAGAGTGTTGAAGTGTATTTGTGAACAACATTTCTGATATATATGTTAAATACCTACACACTCTATGAGTGCACGATCAAAGTGCACAGTCTTAGTTATGTCCAGAAGTGAGATCATATACGTGTACCACAGGAAAGTCACTTCTCAAAAATAACATGTTGAAGTCCAAGTGATTTCAAGTGTCTGTGATTTAGTGTGAGCCACGTGAACTGGCGTGCACCAAAACATCTGCGCTCTCAGGTGAAATAGGCTGTGCGCAGCCTGTCTGGCCCTGTCACTCCTGTTGCCACACAGCTATAGAACCTTTAGAAGAGGGTGGAGTCTCAGCGCCACTTCATAGCAGGAAGAGTGGAGAGAGGTGGGTGTTTACCCAGGAGCTGGCCCGAAGGGGAGTAAATACTAAGTGTATGAAAGGCAGACCTGTGACTGATGGGCAGGCGTGTGAACTCACATCTGCACCAGGAAGTTACAAGGCAGAATCACCCTCAGTCTAAGGATAAACTTCCTCATGATTAAAATGACCCAAAGAGAGACTGCCTTGTGGAGCAGAAAGTTCTCAAAACAAGGCTCTTTGGTGATTTCAGACTAAAACTGAATGATTCCTTGTAAAAGATGGTGGACTTTCACTGCAGTCTAAATTTCTGCCAAAGCCTCTTATAACCCTTTGAAGCTGTGTGTTTATCTAAAAATGAGCATTTGGCTATTTGGTTTTTATGAATCTTGCAAACAGTTCTTGTACAGTGATTTGCTCTTAGGTGTGTTTTTTTCCGAAAAGAAATTGTATCTAGGGATCATTATGATGATCCTTTCTATAGGAAGAGAAAGAAACCAAATTATGGAAAAGCACGGTAGGCGTCTTTTATTTATTTATCCTTAGGAGTGCTGGAGTTGGGAAAACCTGGTCATTTTAGTGCTTCTGTGTGTGTGTGTTGGGAGGGAGCTCTGGGCTTCACACATGCTAGGCAAGTTCTCTATCACTGAGCTACCCCGCCCGCCCCCCCCCCTCCAGCCTGCGAGTTCTCAGAGTTATTCTCTATCCCTTTTCTAAATTCCAAATAAGCCTTTCCCTGACTATTAGAATAGGAACCCAAAGAACTTAGATGGTTGCATAATGTATCTGCGTGAGAAATTTGCTCTTTCATTTATTCATTTGTTCACTGGCCTCCAACAGAGGAAGAGAGGCCCGGGGACAGTGTGTACAGTGGAGCGTGACTTGTCACAGGATCTATACAGAGTCAATGGGACTCAGGAGGGTCCTCTCTGCAGAAGGTGTATGGGGTCGCAGGAAGGCTGCCCAGAAGAGCCAACAGTTGGAATCCTACTGACTGAGACTTCAGCTGCCTCTGCTACCAGTGAACCAGTTAAAACGGAGAGATGCAGGTTTTAGTTTTGCTCCTGGGCAGCAGAATTAGCCACCAGATATTGCTGTTAGTTGTGGGTTTTTTTGTTTTTTGTTGTTTGTTTTAATGATATGTCTCACCCTGAAGAGAGACGTGGTTTATTTTGCTTCTTGCAGAAACCCAAGCCAGATCAGGTTCTTTTGGTCATGCGCTTTTTAGTGTGAATCTATCCCATTTATTGATTCTTGATTTTACTTCTTGTGCTTTAGGAGTCTTGTTAAGGAAGTCAGGGCCTCTGACATGATGGAGATTTGGGCCTGCTTTTTTTTCTATTAGGTGCAGAGTCCTGTCTGTGATGCTTGGTGCGGCACCTAGACCCTCGGGCCCAGCATTGGGTTAAGTGTTGTGAGGAACTACAGGGAAAAGCCCAAGGCTTATAATCAGGAGGAGAGAAAAAAATACCTTATAAAATGGCCTGCGAACGTTCCCCTCTGCAGCGGCTTCCCCAAGGGCCTCCTTCCTCCTCGGTGGTTGGAGCGCTCCTGTGCTCTTGCAGTGTCCTGAGCTGGCTTCTCTCAAGACTAGATTGTCACTGTGTGTGACCTGTCTGTTCTAGACTGAGAGAGCCTTCAGGACAAGACCTGACCTGGGCATGGCGTGTAGTGGCCCAGCCACAGCAGGACTGAGCCGGAGGGAGCAGGCCACCTCCTTCCCTCTGCTCCATGGAGGCAGCTGCTGTCTACTCTCCCCGGCTCTGTGGACGGGGGTGCTCCTGGGCCTCTGTTCTCAGGGTACACAAAGGCCTGGAATGCTTTGCCCAGGTGTGAACAGCCTAATACTAACGCATTTTGGGTCTCAAAGTGTGTCACTTTTTTTGCAGGCTCCAGTCCCTCCGTTTTGTGGTCCTCTGCTGCGAAGACAGCAAAAGGCAGAGGAAGAGGTCAGAGCCAGCCGTCGATATGAGACAGGTGCTCTGGGGTCAGGGACTTCAGGCTTAGAGACTGCTAATTGTCAAATGATGCTCCAGCCCAAGACCCACTGGGGCTGTTTTTAAGAGTGTTGACTTAGATGTTTTATTTTCCTACAGGAAAACAATACTTCGCCAAAGAGCTCAAGGAAACCAAGGACAGACTGCACGCCAAATGGCCCCCGTTCATTTTCACTCTGCAAAACGTGATTCCGAAAGAGTCTCAAAAAGCCTCTGGGGTACCCAGGAAAAGTAAGGCATTCAGGTACGGAGAGAGCACCCAAATGAACAAGCAAATGCTTGTTGCACCTGCAGTTTAGGGTATTTCCTAATGTAAGTTTTGTAACTAGTCATTTTTTGTTTTTTAGTGACTTATGGTTTTCTTGTTTTTACTATCATCACCTTTGTGTTAGGCAGTATATGTAGAGAACAGCATGAAACACAAATAACTTAACAGATCCCAAATAAAATGAAGATATTTAAAAATAAAAGGCTAACTAGTATTCCACTGTGTATCTACAGTTTCTTTATCCATTCATCTATTGAAGGGCATTTAGGCTGCTTCCACTGTTTAGCTATCGTGAATTGAGCTGCTATAAACATTGAAGTGGCTGCATCTCTGTAGCATGCTGATTTTAAGTCCTTTGGGTATAGAGGAGAGGGATAGCTGGGCCAAATAGTGGTTCCAATCCAAGTTTTCTAAGGTATCTCCATACTGTTTTCCAAACTGGTTATACCATTTTGCAATCCCAGCAATGAATCAGTGTACCTTTTCCCCCACATCCTTGCCCGCACTTATTGTTGCTTGATTTTTTGATAATTGCCATTCTGACTGGAGTGAGATGAAATCTTAGAGTAGTTTTGATTTGCATTTCTCTAATTGTTGGAGATGTTGAACATTTTTTTCATAAATTTGTTGTATATCTTCTTCTGTGAAGAATCTGCTCATTTTTTTAGCCCATTCATTGATTGGGTTATTTGTTTTTTTGGTGTTAAGTTTTTTGAGTTCTTTAGACATCCTGGAGATTAGTGCTCCATCTGAGGTATGTGTGGTAAAAATTTGCTCCCACTCTGTAGGCTCTCTCTTCACTTCATTAATTGTTTCTTTTGCTGAGAAGAAGCTTTTTAGTTTGAATCCATCCCATTTATTGATTCTTGATTTTAAGTCTTATGCTTTAGGAGTCTTTTAAGGAAGTCAGGGCCTCTGACATGATGGAGATTTGGGCCTGCTTTTTTTTTTTATTAGGTGCAGAGTCTCTGGCCTAATTCCTAGGTCCTTGATTCACTATGACTTTTGTTCTTTCTTTTCTGAAGCAAATCTTTCCTAGAAGAATTTCTAGGCCTCAAGTTGTATCATTTATAAATACTTCAGTATATCCTTCACAACTAGTAAACAAACAAAAATCATTTTTATAATTTTCCTTAGTGTGTTTTTGCTTATGGGGACCCTTTCAGCTTCCATTAGCTTTAAAATGCTTACTTATCCTTTATTTTTTCTTTTTAACATAATACATTTTAGTTTTCCAGAAAATTTTATGTTCACATAAAATACTGAGACAGTTCCTTTATATCCTCTGTCCACAGATACACGTCTCCCTCCACTGTGGACACCCTTTGCCACAGTAGTGCATTACAATCAATGAAAGCACATTGACATAATCAGTCCATGATTTATGTGACAGTTTATTTTTGATGGTGTACCATGTTATGGGATTTAAAGCACATTGACATAATCAGTCCATGATTTATGTGACAGTTTATTTTTGGTGGTGTACCATGTTATGGGATTTAACGAAGTATAGTGATGTGGAGCTCTCATTGCAGTATCTTACAGGATAGTTTCACTATACCCCAAATCATCTGTGCTCTACCAATTTATCCCCTGCCCCATTCTCAGCAACCACTGATCTCTTTACTATCTTCATAGATTTTTCTTTTCCAGAGTGTCATATGTTTGGAATTATATAGTAAATAGTCTTTCAGATTTCATCTATCTATCTATCTATCTAATACTGAAGATTTAACCCAGGGGTGCTTTACCACTGAACTACATTCCCAGCCCTCCTCCCAATTTTTTTCTATTTTTGTCCAGATTTTTTATTGGTGCATTATAGTTGTGCATAATGATGGGTCCCCAGTCCTTTTTTGTTTTTAAATTTTGAGACAGGGTCTCACCAAGTTGCTTAGGGCCTCACTAAGTTGCTGAGGCTGGCTTTGAATTTCTGATCCTCCTTCTTCAGCCTTCTCAGTCACTGGAATTACAGTGTGCACTATCATACCTGGCTTACCTTCATTTAAAAAAATTTTTTTTTTAGTCGTAGTTGGACACAATACCTTTGTTTTTATTTATTTATTTTTATGTGGTGCTGAGGATTGAACCCAGGGCCTCACATGCACTAGGCAAGCGCTCTCCTGCTGAGCCACAACCCCAGCCCCCACCTTAATTTAAAAGAAAAAAATTTGTTTGTTCTTTTTAGATATACATGACAGTAAAGTCACCTTCATTTATAAAAGCATGTTTTTACACAATAAAGAATACTAGGTTGGAAGTTATTTTGTTTTAACATATATCCTGTTGTCTTTTAATTAAGAAATCAAGTGCCAGTCTTACTGTTGTTCTTTTCAAAGTAATTTATCTCTTTTCCCTGGATACTTTTAGGATTTTCTCATTCTTTGATTTTTTTTTTTTTTTTATAGTGTTATGGGATGTTTCCAGATGTGGATTTTTTTTTCTACTTGGAATTCATGGTGTGTCTGTAGATTCATGTCTTTAGCTGATTTTGGAACGTTCTGAGTCATTTTCTCTTTGATTGTTACTGCTGCTATATTCTCTCTTTCTTCTCTTTTGGGTACTCCAGTTAAACATATTTTAGATTTTCTCACTGTGACCTTTTTTGGCTCTTACTTTTCTTGTGAATTTTCTATTCTTTTTGTCTCTCCATATTTGATTCTAGATTTTTAAAAATGTCTTTCATTGTATCTGATAATCTGTTGTTAAACCCATCTGCTGAGTTCTTATTTTCAGCCATTTTGTTGTGCGGTTCTAGAATTCCTGTTTGGTTCTTTTCATAGGAAAACATTCTGAAGAGGTCTGTCTGTGCTCAGGGGTCTGGAGAGTCTCCACCCTCACTCCACTGGGGAACCTAACTCAAATACATTGCTTGACTTGCCCACTGTGGGAGGAGATATTGAGAACAAGATTAAATGCCTAACTGTGAGGACAGCTACCAGGTTCCAGGAGGAAAAATAACCCACCAAAGATCCTCAGAGCACAGAGGAATCAGTTTCTACCCTGGTACTTGAAATGCTCCAAGGGAAGTGTGGAAGCAGGGCTTAGCTGGAGATTGTCAGCTCAGTCCGGAAAGCCTGTCCCCTTTCTGGAATTGTTTCCACAGACATCCAATGGTTTTACAGTTTTGAGTGTTTGGGGTAGATTTTCTGGTTCCCACTAGTTGTTGCAGCAGAATGCAAATTTGGACACTCACTACAGAAGTGGAAGTGTCGTGGTGCTGGGGTTCAAACTCAGGGCCTTATACACATTCTAGAAAAGTGCTCTATCACTGACCTGCATCCTCGGCCCTTTTTAAAACCATTTTTATTTGAACATTAATAATAACCTAACTTCTCATCAAAGGCATTCTCTTTCTCTCTCCTCTTCCTTTCCCCTCTCTGGCTCCCCAGCCTCTGATGTTGCAGCGCCTCAGCTGGTCCTGCTTCTTTAATCTGGTCTCTTCCAGTCGAGTCTCTGCCTAACAGCTTGAGTGATGTCTCAGGAGCAATCAGCTGAGAACTCTCTGTAGCTTCCCATAACCCTCTCAAACATATGCAGTCTCCTTAACAGGCACATGAGGTGCCATCTGGGCCCTGACATCCTTTCTGGCTTCATCTCAAAAATCCCTTTTCCTTAAAGAAAAGAAATACATATTATCCACAGGAGTCTCTGGTCAAGTCTGCATGTTTATAGCTCCTGACCCTTGGGGTCATGAGTGTCCTTGCTCTATCACTGGCCACTTGGGTGCCGCAAGAAAGTCCCACAGTAGCATGGCCCACCCTCCCAGCAGCCAGCCCCTGAGGGCAGGGCTGTGTTCCCAGTGCTCAACTAGAGAGTGGTGGAGGATGAGTAAACGGAGGGAGAAAAGAGATGGGGGTGGGTTACCTGCAGCCTTTTGGTGACAGCCCTCTGGGTGCCTCACACAGCTGACCAAGTAACAAAGGACTTAAGCACAAGGTGGTTAGATGAGTCAGAAGCAGTTTGATAAACAAAGAACATAATCCTTCTCAAGTTAAAGAAATGGGGGGCAGGGGAGGTACATATGTTAGAAAGCACCAGCATATTGTGAAAGACGAGGCCAGAAAGCCAGACTGCTTGAGGGACAAGAGATCAGTCCCTTCCTTTTGGGGACGATGTGGTTTTCACTGTCACTTCTTCTTGTGAACCTGCTTAATTTCTGTTTCTCTGCGCGCTGCTTTCTCTGCAGGTATAGGAAGCAGATGCTCCAGTTTTGCTGACTTTCGGGCTTGAGCACTGGAGGCTGTCTATTAATCCCTCATCACAACTCTCTCTGTGCCTCAGCCACAGCTGGAGAAGGGTCCCAGGACCCCGGCTTACCTGCAGACTGTGCCAGCAGGGGTGTGGGTGGGCAGAGAGACTGAGAGCTGTATTAGCCAGCTTCACATCATCACAGTGAAATACCTGAAGCAATTAGCTTACAAAGAGAAAAGGTTTACGTAGCTCAGTTTTCAAGGTTCAAGTCCAGGACGAGGTGGTCCCAACTGCTTTGGGCCATTGTTGAGGGAAGTACATCATAGGAATACTTGTAGGAGCAAACTGCTCACATCAGGAGTCAGGAAGCAGAGAGAGAAAGGAAAAGATCAAGGTCCCATGGTCCCTTTCAATGACATGCACCCATGACCTGTGACCCTCCCAGTAGGCCTCACAGCACCTCCCCATACTACCAACCTGGGAACCTAGAGTTTAAATAAGGACCTTTAAGGGTCTCATCCAATCCATAGCAGAGGGACAGCTACCACTGATGTCTCGATGGCTTTTCCTTTTTATAATGAACACAGAGTTCATTAAATTAATTCCTTAGAATGGTACAGTTCAGTTTGTTCTGAGTTGAGATAATGTTTCTTCTTTTCTCCAAAGTCCTGAAAGGCCTATCTGTATGGTAAGGAGAAGACGACCGACCTCAGTCAGCTTGCTTTTGAAAGGCAGTTCCGTTTCTCCCAGCTCCGCAAGAGCAAAGAGGCTGAGAAGAAGGGTCTGGTGAGCGAGACCTGGGGCAGGGCCTGGCTGGTAGGATTTGGCAGCATCCCCAAGACAGTATCCTCCACCTCAAAAGCAGAGCCCCCAGCAAGGCCTTCCCTCAAAACTAGGCTCCTGGGGGTAGAGGAGGCAGTAGCCCAGGAAAGGGGCAAAGAGGAGGCGGCAGAAGGGGACAGTGACTCCATGCACAAGAACCAGTGGGGCTGCCTCGACTTGGAGCTGCTGCTGGGGGGGGCACTCTGGGTGGGAAAGCCTTGGGTCATGAGGCTCAGACGGTGGCAGATGTGGGACCTGGGACCCCACTTTCAAGAGACCCTTGGCAGAAAGGAGCTGTCCTCTAAGGTGATCTCAGCTCTTTTCCATGAGTCTGCGTCCTCCCACCATTTTTCTACCACTGATCACTTCTCACATCCAAGCCTGACCAAAAATCTTGTTTTCAGTTCAGTCACAATAATTGGGGATTTTTTGAACTGAAATTTATACAAAAAGGGGTAAAGCGAAATGAGATTTTAAATATCTAAGAGGTCTTTTATTTTACCTTTATTTTCTTTTAGTGGTGCTGGGATTGAACCTAAGGCCTCGTGCATGCCAGGAGAGCTGCCCCAGCCTTAAGAGGTGATTTATATGCAGGGATTTTGCCATCAGTTTTCCACCCAGTGCTCACGGTTTGCTGGGCACAGCAGCTCCTGGCCTGCACCCCCCATCCCTCTCCCACAAGCCCTGAAGCCTGAGGTTAGCCCCTGGGAAAGTGCCTGCGGTAGGCGAAGGGTCCAGGACCTGTTGTGTGTGGACAGCTGCACGTCTTTGATTTCTCCTTCCACCAGCCACACGCAGAGGGCCAAGGACCATCTCCTCTCTCCAGTTTGAAAACCTGGTTGGATATTTTGGGACCCACTTCTCAGCCTGTTGTTCTCCCAGTCTCTCTGGAGTCAAATGAATTCTCCTTAGATGGCAGGTTACCAGACTGCTTTCCTCATCAGCTTTTTCTGAGCATAATTATATTTGAGAGCAAAGGAGCCCCTCCATTCAATTTTTTAAAATATTGAATGTGGGCGATGATTTCATGTACATACTAATATATCCTTCACTCCACATTGTTACTGTGTGTGTAGTGAGAACACTTAAGATCCACTCTCTCAGCAAGTTTCAGGTCCAGTTGTCCCTTGGTATCTGTGGGATTGTTTCTAGGATGCTCTGTGAATCCCACAGCATGTAACGCACGAGCCCCTTAGATAGACGGTGTAATTTTTGCATATACCCTATGCACATCTTCCTATGTACTTTAAGTCATCTCTAGATACTTAAGATGCCTAGATCAATATAAATGCACTTTTAAATAGTTCTGATGTATTGTTTAGAAAGTAATGATCAGGAAAAGAAGTCTAAATGTTCAGTACAGATACAGTTTTTCTCCCAAATATTTTTGATCTGCAGTTGATTAAATCCATGGATGTGGAATCCATGAATAGGGAGGTCCAACCGTAAATAATAGAGTATTAATAACTTAGTCACCATGCTATACAGTGGGTCTCTAGAGCGTCATGACTAAAAGTGGACAGCCTTTGACCAAGGGCTCCCCCTTTTCCCACCTCTCACCTGACACCTGCTCTCTGAGTTCAACTTTTTTAGATTTCACACATCAACCAGTTTTTGCAGTGTAAATCTTTCTGGGACTGGCTTGTTTCATTGCGAATGATGTCCTCCAAGTTCATCCATGTTGTTACAAACGATAGGACTTCCTTGTCTTTACCAATTCACCTATCAATGGACACTTAGTTTATGTGTCTTAGCTCTTATGAATAATGTTGCAATAAACTTGGCAGTGAAAATATCTATTCAAGACATGGTTTTATTTCCTTCAAATATATATGCTCAGTTGTGAAGTAACTGGACGATATAGAGGTTCTGTTTTTAAATTTTGGGGAACCTCCATATTGTTCTTCATAATGGCTGTACCAGTTTATGTTCTACTGAAAGTGGACATGTGTTCCCTTTTCTCCATATACTCACCCACACTTGTTAATTTGACTTGTTGATAACTAACAACCTAACAGGTGTGATATGGTATCTTACTGTGGTTTCAATCTACATTTCCCTGATTAGTGATGTTGAACATCTTTTCTTATGGCTATTATCATTTGTCTTCTTTAAAAAAATATCTATTCACAACTCAGGAGGCTGAGGCAGGAGGATCATAAGTTCAAGGCCAGCCTCAGCAATTTAGTGAGGCCCTAAGCAACTTAGTGAGACCCTGTCTCAAAATTAAAAATAAAAAGGGATGTGGATGTAGCTCAGTGGTAAAGAATCCCTGGGTAAATATCCCAAATCTATTCAAGCTCTTTCCCATTTTTAAATTGAGTTCTTAGCTTTTCTGCTATTGGGTTGTATGATTTCCTCATGTATTTTGAATACTGACTCCTTATTGGCTATATGGTTTGCAAGTATTTTCTCCTATTCCTCATTTTTTTGGTTTCCTTTGCTGTATAGAAGCTTTTTGGTGTGATGACCCACTTGTTTATTTCAGATCTTCATGTGACTAGTCAGCTCTACTCTTATGGTAGCAAAGGTTATTTGCTGACACCAAACAGTAGATAGTGGTTTAAACACACAGAAGTTTGCTCTTGTTTGTACCTAAGTATTGGGTGGGTGTGTCCGTAGACTGGCCCCCTTTCAGGACTCTTCTGATGGGCCTTTGTCATCTTCAGCACCTGGCTTCCAGGGAACTCATTCATGTCAACCATCAAGGGGAAGCAATTTGGGATGAGTTCTGCCCTAGCATACATGGGCCAGGCCTGAAGTGTGCACGTCACTCCTCTGATCTGTAGGCTAGGACCCAGTCACAGTTGTCCCTAACTGAAGGGTGCGAGGGTGCTGGGAACACCTGGCTGGTCTGAGCACAGTGGCAGGGGATCCCGTGTGGACAGCAGGTCTCTGCACACTAAGGTCCACGCAGCTGAGGATGGAGATCTCACGGGAGAGCGGCAGAGAGCAGAGGAGACAAGCGAGGCAGGAGGTGATGCAGAGCCCCCCCGAGACTCAGCTTGGCAGAAGGACCAGGTGTGGGGTGGGGCAGGATTCTAGGTCCCTCTGCTCCGGTGAGCCTCCACGGCCTTACACCACACTCAGTCCTTCTCTTCTGTCACTAGGTTTTAGGGACCCGACAGCAGAGACCCCGCTCCTGGGCGGCTGGGGATCATGAACAGAGATGGGGGCCACAGCCCGTAGAAAGAAGAGTGATGACAGCCGAGGTCCTGGGGAAGCACCTGGCCTCCCTGCAGGGGATGGCCAGGCAAGGCCACCACTGGCACAAGGTAATAAAGCTTCACGGACTTCGGTCTGCCATGTCCTACAACAGTTAAAGTATTGGGAATATGGTTTCCCCCTCGAGGAGTGGAAGGATATTGCAAGAAATGTCCAGATAGTAGCACTTACTGTTTATGGAGCTCTCTGGTAATGAAACAGGAACCTTGAGTTGAGAATTTTAACAGCAAGATGGATTATTATCCCCTAATATTTGATGCTCAGAGAGGCACAGTGCTGGCTCGGGGCCAATATCCAGGTTTTACGAATAGTGTCCCACTCCAAGTCAGTCCCAGTAATGCCCCCAGGGGACAATCTCTCCTCTGACGCACTTGGTAACAAAGCCAGGTTGCTAAGAAGTGGATCCTCTTTAGGAAGGTGGAGTTACCCTTTGGCCAAGTGTCTTCCAGAGGATGATGGAGCTTCTGGGTGCATTACTGACGTGAATTATCCTCCAAGCCATCTTACTCAGATCAGGCAGGTGACTCTGTCCTAAATCTGCCCAAAGAACCTGACTTGTCTCAAGATGGAGAAATGGTACTAGTCACAGCTCATCTAGTGAGAATTAAAGTCCCCAGTAGTCCTGGGAAGAGGATTGTTCTGCAGTTACAGCTAAAAAACAAACAAACAAACCCCAGAGCTGGTTTTAAACCTGCCCGATCATTAGGGACATGGCAGGCATTCTGACATTAGCCCACAGTTAGTTCCAGAACCAACACATGCATTTTTCCAAACCTGAGAGACAGCCAGCAGTTTGCTTGCTCAGTGAGGCTGTGCTGATCCGCCAGACTTTGCTGTAAGTGAGCAAAATGTTCAGTTGTTCTTGTCAATTCCAAATGCTGTTTCTTCTTCTTTTTGTCTGTTTTATCCAATCATTGTCCAGGACCAATACATGGAATGAGTCAATGATGGATTAAAAAAAATTGAATATATTGAATTATATTTTCCATTGTAGCCAGTGAAGAAACTTTGCCCCAGGAACATGAAACACAGATTCACCAAAGTTACAATGGCAGAGTCAAGCTAGGCCTTGGGTCTCTTGGCCATATTGTCACCCCATCTTTGGTTTTTCCCCATTGTACCAGAAAAGAAATTTGGTTTCACTATCAGCAGCCTCTGAAATTACATTTTAAAAGTGTTTCATGTAGAAAATAAATCAAACTTTGAAAGATAACTTCATAAACTTTTATTTTTATTCTCTTCTGTACATATTGGCAATGATAAAGCTTTAAAGATGCATGTCCTATGAAATATGCAAACAAGGAATTTACATAAATAATTTATACTTCAGAAAATTAAAGTTGAAAAATATTTTCCACATCATTAGAATTCACAGTATTTAAAGTACATCAAGCTTCCCCCTTTATATTTCAATCTATATTGTCATAGCAGAGAATGATAAAATCTAGTTAGGAAGAAAAGGATCAAGTTTCTGTTTTTATTCAGTGCACGAGTAGACGCTCTATCAGTATCAGCTGCGGGAGCGCTGAGGCTGCAGCGTTTCATCCCAACCCTTCACCTCCTGAGTGCCGTGACCCAGCAGAGGTCACATGGTATGGAATGGTCCAGTGTCACCAAACCACTCCCCCTGGTAGACACATTCACCAAGTGGTAACATCTGTTGGTCTGATGCCTCATTTCCACATAATACTTTTATAGCCCTGAAAATGGAAACCTGGCATCTAAACACAGCTGAACATGTTAACACTAGTACAAGGCACTGTGCTGTGCGGTTTGTTTTTTTATAGGAAAGGTCATGTTTGCATAGATTGCTAGCGATTTAGTGTGCAATAAAATACAGGCCCCAGCTTGCATGGCTTTGTGATGGATGAAGCCGAGTGATGCTCCTTAGTCCCAGGAGAGCCCAGTCTTGAGGGCAGAGCCTCTGGTGCTGTCCTCCCCAATCCCCTAAGGGAGAGTTTTTTGTTCAAAAAGCTGAAGGTCAAAGCGGACCCAGACCTCCCCCGTGGGGACCTCGTGCAGCAGTAGTCGACGGGTTGTAGGGCCTTTGTTTTCCTGTTCTGTTTGAATTTTTGCCACTGGAACTTCAGTACGACCTAGGAAATCTGGTGAATAAACATCATGTAAAGGTCTAAAGTCTTTGTTCTTTATAAAACTATTAAATGCAAGGAAAAAAAAAGACTACCTCAAGAGAAGTGTCTAAAAGAGGTTCACAAAACTTTTACATCCAAAACAAGTAACTTCTTTTGACTTATGGCTGTTTGATACTCTGAATAGATGCATGTACAATGACAACAGATTTGTCTAAGGGCAGCTGCCTATTTGTAGTCCAAGTCTCTCTGGTCAGAGAACGTTCTACTCCTTCGGTATATCCCACAGGGTTTAGCTGGTGTGTGCAGATAGTGACTCTGGTCAAAGACCTGAAATGCATCTGACACCGTCCCCTCCTCCTGAGGAAGGGCGTCCACTGTGGCTAAAATGAGATGACACAAATCTGTCATTTCCCATAGTAGTCATGGGGTGTATGAATGGCTGAGCATCCTGGATACAGACCCTAAGTTCTAGAAAACTAGGAACATCTTTTGACCTCCAAGCCAAGTTATACTTACCATCTGGAGAAAAATGGTCTCTGTCAAACATAGTGAGACATAGCACATCTTGGTAAAGATCCTTAATAAAGAACTGGCAGTTAAAGTTCCACTTGGGATTCAGTGTGTCCTGGAGGGTTCTGGTGGTGTAGCTCTGGGAGCCCATGCTGATTTCGCAGTATGGATTACTCTTTCCTAAACAGAAATGAACCACAGACATGTGACGTCGTAGGCGAAATGCTTGACGAACAGAGCCGCCCTCAAGCAGAACCAGGTCTGCAATACTAGAGACCACTGCAGCAGGGCCACTGCCTGAAAGACCCCGTCTGCTCTGTGGTCTGGCAGTACAGCCTCTGTTCCCGAGCATGAAGCCTCATTGTAACCCTTGGAAGCGACTGTGAGCTCTAAAGCCAACCCCCCTCCCCATGAGCCTGGGCAATGCCAGTGCAACCTGCGTTGTGCGTTTCAGTGCAGAAGCGCTGAGGAAGGCAGGCATTGGTACTTAGTGGGGAACCAGAGTGACAATACTGGTCCAATAAGTGGATTATCACATCTCTGTGGCACTGGGAACACTGACTTTAAAAATGCATCCCATCATTCAGAGTGCAGAGGGTCACCAGCAAAGAGCAGGGCATTGCTATGTCTGTTGAGTGAAAGAAGCATTTACCATTTGGTTTACAGGCTTTTAATTCTGTGGCTTCAACAACATGCACCATCAGACGTCCAATGCCTGATGTCTTTTGAGAGCGGGCTACAAAAGAGGGAGATGAGTTATATTAATTTCTCTGTGCAGTGATGATGGGCTGTGAACCCTCAGTCTCTCCTGATACTTTTAAAAACATTTGATGCTGGGCATTGAACCCAGGGCCTTGTGAGTGCTAAGAACACCTCTACCACTGAGCTACACCCCCAGCCCTCACAGTCTGTCTTTCTAACCAGACATGAAACTACTCCAACCTCACAAGCTGTTGCACCTGGGCAGTGTTGTCTGACAGGAACGCATTACCTGCAGTCCCTGCCCCTCATCATCCTACTCATGCTTCACCACCCAGTCAATCTCATAGCTACCTCCCCGGCCCATTCCCTCCTCTGTGTATTCACTACTCTGATTTATGAGCATTCCACAGCCTACTGGGTCTGAGATTCTGTATAATATCTGTCTCCTCTGCCGAAGAGGAGCCATGTGGCACATAGACAGTTGTATTCATCCTTTATTAACCCTCAGTTACCTAGCAAGTAGTAATATTAACAAAGCAATAATGCATGTAATTTATTCAGCACTTCATAGCAAATAACATTGGATACTTACTCTGTTTTAAGCATGTGCTAGGTCTCTACATATATTTAAATTGCATAAAAACCTTATAAGGTAGCTCCCCATTTTATAGATGAGAAAAAAACTGAGGCTGAGAAAAGACCATAATGTACTCCATTCAGAGCTTTTAAGAAGCAGGGCCAAAATGAAAACATCAGGTACCAAAGTCTAAACCATTCACCGAAACTCCAATTAAATGTGCATAAACAGTATAGCTTAGTAGGCAGTTTGACTGAAGGTCTGGTTCTATTTAAGGAGGGACTCATAATACTTTTAATATGGAGAAAGATGAGTCAGTGGGCTCATCTTGATAAACATGAAGTTAAGTAGGTGTTAAGCAGGTTAGTATTCATAAACAGGATGCTTGGTGAGCTACTGATTTCTTTTTTAGCTCTAAGCATGTATGCCTTCTCTATAAGAAAGGTCCATCTCTCTCCACCTCAGAATGTGCCCTCAGTCCCCCTGAAGGCAGGGGCTGTCCTTACTCTTCTCTGTAGACTCAGTTACTTGTAGCACAGAACCTGACACAGAGTAAGTAATCGACACAGGTCTAAAGAACTGAACACATGGAATGCAGAATATATACAGATATCGACGGTAAGCAAAACTCAATAGAAAAATTTTGATTTACATCTTTGGCCAATTAAGACATCATTATATGCTTTATGAAATGATTCGTTGATTTTTCAATAGCAAGCTTTTAAAGTACCTCTAAAGTAACATTCAATTGGTGAAAGCCAGTTCACACGTCCCTTCAGGAGCACAGAACTTAAAAATAAGGGAAACCTGAATGAAAACACAAAGAGCTGCAACTGCAGTGCCAGGAGCCTGGCAGGAGGACTGGGCAGGCAGGAGGAAGTGAGGTGGGGACAGGGCACGGCAGGGGTGGATGGAGCCCTGGCCTCCACTGGGGAGGAGGCCAAGGGCAGGTCTGGGCACAGCTGGGACGGGTGGCCGGGAGGGGCTTGGCATTCACATGGAGGTGAGGGAGAGTGCCAGGGCTATGGCAGTTCTGGTCAGAGGGCCAGGAGTGGGGAGGCGCCACACTGAGCTGGTGA